CTTAGACTTAGATGAAGGCTTAAAAGTCACTTTGTGTAGTCATAGTCGGCAACAGGTCCACAGCTTCTCAGACGTCATTGGGTTGCACGATTTCAGTTTGCCACGAATCATGAACACCGGGGTGAAAATGAATGGAATCGCATTTTGTTTACGAAGTAGTCGAGATTTAGCCCGCGATCTCCAGACGCTCATGACAATCCTAGGATAGACTGAGTGACTGAAATTTCTCTGTATTTACACGCACGAGTTGTAGTCAAAGAGGTCTTTAACTGCTCTCAAGCCACTTGAACACATTCTGGAAGATTTTGTTGCCCCTTGTGTTGATTTTATTGGAGAAATTATTATTCTTCGATTGGCTTAAAGCCAGATACGAACCCAATTCAAGTCGTTTGGGACATGCTTCATCCAATTTTTAAACGAATTGCAACAAAATCTTATCTCTCGAGAAGAAAAATGTAAAAAAATATGCGGTTGGCCGTTGTTAGAAATTACTTAAAACATGTTGTTTTGTTTGTGTGAACGATAAATATAAGAAAACATTACATTTTTAGAGGATTCAGAAAAATACTGCACCAGAAATGTAGTTTAGACCGCGCAACACTGTCAAAATTTAAACATATCGACTTTTATAGTTTTATAATAGAGTTGTCATCGTTAATTATTCTTTATATATTCTTATTGTAATTATTTACACATTGTTTGGTTGTAATATTATATTTTTTACATATTTGTGTAAAAAACTTGGAAAAAAATTCGATCGATATACTTGGAAAATTAAAATATATGTCTTTATAACGTTTTACAGGAATTTATTGATCAGAAATTTACCTTAATATGTATATTTTTATACGCCCTCCTGTAAAATAAATAATTATACACCGATCTAGCGTGCGGAAAGTATCACTTTACCGCGTCACTTTCGTTTAACACGGATCCGAGTCAGTTCGGACATTTTCGGTATATTACCGATGTCAGTGAATGTATTCGTGTTGTTTTGCGAAAATGTACCTAAAAACTAACGGTCGTAGGAAAAGTATAGTATGCAATACGTTTGGTAAACTTTTTAAGTCACTCGTTTATTAAACACTCGCTCCGCTTGTGTCAAATGAACTCGTGACTCAAATGCCGTTTACCGCACTGTTAACCAATATTTCTCATTTCTTGAAAAGGGGAATAATTTTAAATTTATAGAAAAAACCAAAACACTTATGTAATTGTCATACAGGTAATAAAATTTATATATGCCATTATTGCATTCATGTATGACGGCAGAATGAAATTTCTACCCTATGTAATACTCTAAATAGAATTGGTCTCATAAAAATCCATATCCGTACGCGCAGACGCAGACGAAGCCCATAGGCAAGAATTTGGTCAGGCGAACCAGGAGCGTAAAACTTCTCTTACTCAATGGCCAATAGTTGTTATTCTAAAATACGTCTTCGTTAATGATGGAGAAATATGCGATCGTAGTAAATCCTCTCAGCAGCTGTATAATACGATTAAATCATTAGAACGAATTAAAATATTTCCTTTGTCGGCGTTAATATACCAGCTGGCGAAATAAATTTTCCGCGGATCGTCACGAGCGTGCGTGTGTGGTGTGAAGCCGATTGAGTCTTTGCCGTTGTTATTATTAATACGATGGTGCGCGACGTTCATTAATATTTTCGTTGCGTAATCCTATGCTGTATGAAAACGCTTATCCGTCAAGACTGTTGAGTATTCTATGCAAATCGTTTTTTTTTTCCTCGACTAACTCCACGTATAGAACGCGAAGGATACTCGCAGGGGATTTAAATTTTAACGGTGTCTGTTTTGATATTAGCGACAGCGGTCGGGCCTAAATAGAAAATTTTATTTACTTAAGATAAATTATTGAAAAACAAATTAGACCATGTGCGGGGGTTGGTAAAATACAAAATGTGTTTTTTGTGGCACCCTAGTCACATTTTGGATTACATCGTATTATTAATTCTCGCTTGGATGAAGATTTTAATGTTGTGTTTCTTTATGCGAGAGAATTATAGAATGTAAATTTGCATTGACAGGGATCATCGGATAGGGTGCACAACGTACAGGTTAAACTGCAATGATAGTTGTTGATAAATTCCGTATTTTAGTTTTTAAGACCCACACACCCCGAAATAAAAGTAGATAATGTGAAAATAGATAAATCCAATTAGAAGACGTGGGTATTTTTTCGGATTTTATTAAATGGTAACATCCATGAGTAGAACAAACCCAGGAGGAATAAAATCTAGTATTTGCCGGAAGTAGTCTTCAAAAACACGGCATGTCTTCATAGCCTCTAGCCGCTTATTAATATTTTACTTTTTCTCGAAGATGCTTTTATTCCATCTGTCCATGAATGCTTTCCTCGGTAATTTATTGCGTTTTTTTCAATTTCAACCATTTTTGCAACTCCGAATGTTGTTGGCGAAAAGTTGTAAACACATTGACACAGAAACACTAGCAATTTTCAAGAACACGCTTTGCCAACAACTGCAGAAACTAACTATAATTCTAATTTTAATTTAATTTTATGACACTATATTCCGGGATATCATCCGTTCGCTCGTTGAATTCCGACTGGAATCCTGCATCCGACTGGAATCCTGCAGGATTCAACGAGCGAACGGATGATATCCCGGAATATAGTGTCATCACATTTTTCCATCCGTGAATCAATACGTGAGAATATATATATATATATATATATATATATATATATATATATATATATATATATATATATATATATATATATATATATATATATATATATATATATATATATATATATATATATATATATATATATATATATATATATATATATATATATATATATATATATATATATATATATATATATATATATATATATATATACTTGATTTTGGATATTGATATGGGATTATGAAGTTTCCGCATAGTTCAGTGTACATTTATTGAAAAACTCAAAAAAAGGTAAGTCATAGCGTATTTAAGAAATGCTTAGGTTAAACACTGACATATACTAGAAACTTACGTGAAAGTAGGTCAATATTTTTTCAGTTTTTTTTTAATTCTTAAACTTTTTAAACTGTTTTTACTGTAGCTGGAACGTAACGCTCGGAAAGACATTCTACTTATATTTCTAGCGTAGTGATCCAGGTGGTGTCTGCGGGAGACTCCGTTGGCATGAAAAAAAATGCATTTATATGGAATATGATAGAAACTAGACCGTACCTGCCACCGGAACCAGCTAAATTTTGATGAGAAGAAAAAAATCTGGGAACCACTGCTCTAGCGTTTCTAAAAATAGACAATTTATTTGAGTATCCTTTAGTGAGTTCAAAATATCCCCACCAACTCTGCATATTCAATAGAGCTAATCCATTGATTTGAAGTTTGTAGGGCTGTGCAAAAGTAAAATATTTTTTCTACTCCCGTCTGTAAAATGCCTAATTACACACCAATCTAGCGTGCGGGGAGCGACAGTTTACCCACGGATCCGAGCCACTTCGGACATTTCCGGGATTTTACCGCACTGGTTTGGGAGCAATCGGATGTATTCCCACGCCTTGAATTTTGACTTTTGTCAATTCTGACGGTCATGTCAGTGAATGTATTCGTGTTGTTTTGCGAAAATGTATCCAAAAACTAACGGTCGTAGAAAAAATATAGTATGCAACACGTTCGGTAGGTAAACTTTTTAAGTCGTAAGTCAAATGCCGTTTACCTCACTTGTTGCATAATATACTATTGTAGAGCCAAAATGTTTTTATGGTGATTTCCAGTTGGATAAAACAGCACTTGATCCCGAAATAGAGTAATATTGATAATTTAATCGTATTAATTTTAAATTGCTTTTTATTTATGTGGTGTGATGTGGTAATCAACAATTACTTTTTTTTATCGAAGAGGCACAGATCTACTTATTCGGAAGCGACGCTGCGGTATACGCTTACGTACACGGAAAGCATTCTTCCAAAGTCGCTTTCCAAGTTTTGCGTAACAAAACGAAAGTCCACCCTCGTACCGGCGACACTCAAGAGGCCATCCATGTCTTCACACACTTCGGTGCTGCCGCGGTCACTCGCAAGACCCTCCTCCCCGTCCTCCTTCCGCCGCGCCAACGACATCGTCCGATAACGTAACAATAACGCATACAAACTTTCCACGTCCGGGACCTGCTAACCTCATTCGCGCCACCTGTCGCTGTTTTTCGTCATTTAAACGACCACGGCATCGATATTAGCGATCCCGGATCGCCCATTACGGTCCTTCGGGCCGTCCGCGTCCCCGGGAGGGCTCGAAAAATCACCGCGGTTCGAATCGGGGATGTTTGCGGGCCGTACCGGGTGCAGATGGTCGCGCGTGACACCTACTTCCTTCTCGCGCACGGTGTGGGTCGTCTCGGAACGCGTCCAGTGGCGGCGTCGGCTCGGCTTTTACTTTCTACGCCGTTACTATTATTATTGTTATTATTCGAGAATGCGGTAATGTCTAATTTAGCACCTGCCTATTTGCACGCTATCCCGGGCATATGCCGCGTCCACGACGATCGCATACCGGGCGGGGCAAGTAAAATGTGCGAGTTCTGGGCATTTTCACGCCTAGAAATCTCTAACGGGCGTAATGGATGAAGCTCTACGATAACGAAGTATTGAGATTTATATATTTTTCTTAATTTATAAAGTAGTGTGGGGATTTTTAATTTAATTTCTTAAAATATTGAATATACTGTTGCCTTTCCAGAGTGGTGTATTAATTTTTTAGAACGGTAATGTTAAGTTGCTTTTCAAAATACACAGCTCTTCCTATATACGAAATTTCTTTGGAAATGTTTTCATAGATATTTTCCAAAACCGCATATTTTCGAAAATCACCCTACACAAATCTGAACCTTTTTTATTATTGTGTTTTATAAAATCCTCCTTTGATTCTTGTACATTTTCCTTCGGCTTTTGTTATTGCTTCTTAGATTAATTGTTTTCTTTTAATTATTTCAGAGATTGCGAAAGTAAGGGCGAGTCTGTTCCAAATAAACGGAGTCAAAAAAGAGCCGCTGATACTACCAGAGCCCGACGGTCCAGTGACGACCCTTACCGAGAAAGTATACGTCCCAGTAAAGGAGCACCCAGACGTAAGTATCCAGGTTTCGAGTTGTTATGCCTTAATGAGCAACATCTACGCAATTAGTATAACCAAGTCCGCGTGATGGTTTTAGTAGAATCCGTAAAACACATCTGCGACGTGTAAATAAAATCTCACGCTCGATATGCGTTTTTCAAGGTTCGGACGCTAGCTAGAAACGCAGAATTTTCCTCTAATCGCCGATCATTATTCGTCCGCTTTATATGGTGAAAATTGGAATCGCTTACTTTTTAAACGATTTTAAATTTGCATGAATTATCCTCAGATTGTCGTTCTTTGTCGATGGACTCTCAAGCTAATTCGGAACACGATTTTAACTCTTCTTTTCTTCCTTTGTGATTGTACAATATACCGGGTGACACAAGAAAGTGGGAACATTCTATAACTTTTAAACGGCCTGATTTGAAATTTGGAAGGGTTAATACAGGTTGAATGTCCAATTTTTTGACGATATGAAGTCAGTAACATTCGAATTTTAAACCTGTATTTTTTTCCATTTTTGGATTCAGGAGGATAGGACGGTTTTTCTCTCTTTTTTTTTTAATTTTTGAAAATTGTATCTAGGAGGCTGTGACCATCACCGGGTCACTTGATCATGGGTAAAATTGTAAATGAAAATTTTCTTTACTTGTCTAATTTCAAATTGCACTTACTGTAATGAGCTATTAATTTTTTAGGATTACCTAGTTTTTTCACATAGCACCCTAGTGGGGACTTTTTAATACCAGTATTTTTTTTTGCAACATTTTGTCACCAAAATTTTCAAAATCCATTAAAAAATAATCGCAGGAAGGTAAAAACTAGATAAGTAAATACATTTTTATAAAAACAAAATATTACTTAGGTGGCTTTGCTTCTACTATTCATCATCAAGTCGGCATGATTGAAAATTCTGATAATTTCTACATTTTTATTGTATTATCAATTATTACAACAATCAATTTACAAATGAAGGAAAAGTTGATATGTTTCTGATACACGGAGAATGCAGAAAAAAACTCTCGACAGACCAGTGCATTGTATGCAGCCCGCTATCCGAGACGTTGCCTTCCTGCACATTCTATCTTCAGAAAGCTGGAATTGAAAATGAGGAATCCACAAAATAATCGACATTATAATTTTATTATAAGTGAAGAAATGGAAATCATTGTTGTTGGATACGGCAATGTAAATCCAGCTACGTCGCTGAGAGAAGTGGCATTAGAATTAGATATCTCAAGAGAATCTGTGAGTATAATTTTAAAAAAGCTCACGTTGTAAGAAGACTTCGGTATTGTAATTGGCTGTGAGGTAAATATGACGAGAATAATAATTTCGTTAACTTAATTTTGTTCACTGATGAGTCACAATTCTCAAATAATGCTTTATTTGACCGACGGAGCAACAGATACTGATCTAAATAATCAAAAAATTATTCGTCCCGGACAGTTTCAAGAACGGTTCGGAATCAATGTTTGGGCAGGAGTGATAGGAAGGCGAATTATTGGACCTGTTTTTTTTTTCATGGTACCTTAGCTGGTGCACGATATTTACAATTCCTAAGAAATGAAATTGAAGACTGGCTAGATGGTTTACGTCTTGCCGTGACATTAAATATGTATGTCCAGCAGGATATAGAGCGTTCCACTTTCTTGCGTCACCCGGTATTCGGGGTGTTTTTTTACTTGATGTTTTGTGTTTTGACGGGATGCATTCTTCCTCTTTCTACTTTATAACACGGCCAAAAGAGAAATTTATTTTGCCGATACTTTCGGCAGACTCATTTGCGTATTTGGTCTTCAGTTACATCCCATTGTTTCGCAATTGCAACACAATGGGATCGTCGTCGGGTTCGACAATGGCCAACCAAAAATTTTCCGCCATTTTCGCGACAGAGACGGCGGATGAAAAAAGATGGCCGTTTGCTACGGCCAGCTGTTTCGTTGTTTACTACAATGGACGCTTGTGCGCGTATAGCTGATAATATACGGCCCGAATACATTGTCTGTGTGAAAAATTACTGTTCTAGGTACGAATTGGGTTAATGGTTCAATTGTTTTTTTTTATTGCTCGGCGATGACGTCAGGTCCCGGTTTGTTGCCGTTGTACGCATTCGTTACTATGGGAGTGTCTTACGAAGTCGCAGTTGCCACTAGATTCGAAAAATATATTTTTCTTCTCCTTAAGATTGCGGAATTGACGAGTCATTTGACCGAAATAATTTAAAAAATACAATTAAATTTATATTTATTTATTTTTATTTATATTGTGCGTTACGTCACCGTCGCGTCGTTCTGAGGTCTAAATGGAGTCCATATTTTTATAGCGGAAGTGTTACTTTACTACGTCAGCTTCGTTACCCGCGGGCCACGAGCCGCTTCGCACATTTCCGGTACTTTAGTCACGGGCGATGGAATGATTTCGGTAGATCTTAGCTATGGTAATAACTGTAGCGGATGTTTATAAGGGCTTTATACAGCTTGGATTTTATAATAGTGTTATAAGAAAACCACAATTTTTTTTGTAAGACATTCTCTAAACACCAAAATAATATAATATTGCATCCAAAACGTGTCCGTTTCTTTATTTATAAAACCTTCGGTGTTGGTTAAACGTTATTAAAAACATTATTCAATATAAAACTTTTATTCCGGGGGTTTTATAGCTTTATGCGTAAAACTCTTATAAAGTCTTAGAGCGCCTAATAAATGTTCTACAGCTACCATGAAACCTGAACTGAAAAGTGAGGTTATGATAGCATAATTCAAATTGGGTATTTGCCCAGTAATTGGTTTTCCTGTTGCTTTTAGTTTTATGGCGGTTACCGAAAGTTTTTAAAAATACTTTTTTGAAACTATAAGTGTTCCATAATCACGTTAGGTTTTATTGGAAGCGCAATATTGCTATAGTCCAAGTTGTTTAATATAACTTGAAAGTCAAGTTTTTAAAAAGCGAGCTTGGTGAACACGGCGGCCTTTTATGTCGCGAATCAACATGACTACTTTCGAAGCAATTCCTGAGACTTGAAAACATTCTTCAAAAATATACAATTAAAAAAACTAACCAAAACAATGTTGGTTACGTGCTCGTTTATTAAACACCATTCGTGCCAAAACAGACTCGTGACGAAAGTGTCTTTTATATATATGGTCAATTTGTGGTGGCTAACGCTAAATCGTACACCGCTATTTAGTGAAAACGTAGATATCCTTTAGTTTCCTAGTTGACCCATCTTTTGTTCAAGACCCTGTTTGTACTTTTTTTTAATGGCCGGTACGACAAAAAATTAAATGTTTTCCACAGTGCAGGGTTTTGCGCGCGTCTCGTAACCTCCGTCTTCTTTTCTTCCGCAGTTCAACTTCGTGGGAAGGATCCTGGGCCCCAGGGGCATGACGGCCAAGCAATTAGAGCAAGAAACGGGCTGTAAAATCATGGTACGCGGGAAGGGCTCGATGCGGGACAAAAAAAAGGTGGGTGCAATTCTTTTGTCTTGTCTCGTTTTAATTTCAACGGTTTTTTATGAATGCGGGTTAAGGTCGCGTGGACAATCTACCGGATCCGAATCCCGTAGCCCTTTAAAGACTGGCTATTTGACAGGTTTTTGAAAATTACTGACTGGTGTTCTCGGAATTTCGCAGTTTTTTTTTTATATATATCTACTATTTCTTTACTAGACGTCATATGACAGTAAATACAACGAAATGTTTTAATATTTTTTTATGTATTTTTATGTATTTATTAAATGTACAGGGAGAGTCGCAATGATGGGTCAAATCGGTTATGACGGTCTTTGTGTGACAATATCGGTACTCATTATATCATTTTTAATTTACGCCTCCAGTTTCTGAAATGCAGGGTGTTGCACTTTAAAATTGTAACATTTTTATTTACGAATCTTCCAGTTTTTCACATAATTGTCCTATTGGGTTACACTTTTCATGTAAATTAAAATTATATATAATATTAGCAGATAAAAGATGCGTCCTCTGCCCTATTAACCGATAGTCGTTGAAGTCCAGAGAAATAATAAGGGCCTCTACAGTGTTTTCTAGCATGTTCTTATCAACTTCCCACATTGTTTCTTTCATTTCAATCGGGTTTGGAAGCGATTTAGTCCACAACAATTTCGTACAAATTTAAAATCTCTAGTTGCTCATTTTCACGATATTTTTCCAAAATTGCTTCTTATTTAAAGTGAGTCAATTAAGGTTTTTAAGAATACCTGAGTATTTTCTCGGATTTTCTTTCATGGTAGCTGACATCCATGACCATAACTGACCCAGCAAGAAGTCTTGAAAAACATCAGCATTGGTATCTTCATAATGGTCTGCAATACATTGTGAGTAATTGTTTGCTTCTTCCCGAAGGTGCTCGACCATCCCCTTCCATGAAAGTTTGCCTCCCGCTTTTTTAATTTTTATCCTGCCATGTCCTTCCCAGCTTCGTCCAGGTAATGGAATTTCTGTTTTCCCTTGGGAACTGTCAAACTGCCCTCAAATATCATAGTTCCCAGCAGATTATTTAGTCTCCCTCCATTAAAAGTGATTTTCTGGTTTTTCCTTTAAAGTTTTCTACAATTTCCCATGAGTGGAATGAAATTATCCTTTTTCATTTCATACATTATTTTATCGAAGGTAGTTTTTAAAGTAAGCAGTCTCTTCATCCTTATTTATTAGTTTCTTTTCTTCTCGCACTTCTGGTTGGTGACCCGATAGGGCCGCTTCTCCGTCTACATGCCACTCTCGGGATCCTTGACAATCAGCGTAGGTACCGTGCGTTCAATTTATCTTGATAATATTTTAAATGGCTGTAGCTTTTTTGTTTCTAGATATATCAAGGTAAACAAAAAAACAAAATGTAAGGTTAGTAGCCAAGTTTTTTTCCAAATGACGTTTAAAACAAAAACACTATCAATTTTCTGACATATAATATATATAATAATTCACGCAGTCACAAAGTCCAAGGAGGATGCAGTTTTGTTTGGATTTTTGAAATAGATATAATGAGAATAATAATTTTTTGAAAAACATTTCATTGACTGATAAAAGGGTTGTAATAGACAACATACCCGATATTGGTCTTTAAATAATCCTAGACAAATACACGAAATAAAAACTCAGAGGTACCAATCAATTAAGGTATGGTGTGGTGTCATATATGGGCATATTTTGGGTCTGATATTTATAAATCAAAAGTTAACTGGAGATCATTATTTGCTACTCTTAAAACACCAAAAGAACATAATATAGAAGATTTATCCCTAAATATATTACGGGCGCCATGAGAACGGCGCCCACGAGGGCCCTGGAGGCTCTGGTGGGGCTGCCCTCTCTGGCGGATCGGGTGCAGATGGAGGCGGCCAGGACAGCTGTGAGGCTGGCGAGCTGCGGGCTCTGGAGGGAGGGAAGCTTCAATCGGGGTCCGTACGACATTTTTGAGGGCTGTCGTGGGGATCGCGGAGTCATGGGCATGCCGAGTGACGTCATGATCCCCGAGATGACCTTCTTTGATAAATTGACCTTTCTCTTTCCATCAAGGGAAGATTGGAGAGAGGGCAGAGTCGGCTCCTGGGATGGACTTGTCTGGTACACTGACGGGTCCAGAATGGGAGATCTGGCCGGAGCTGGAGCGTACTGCGAGACAATGGGATCAAGCTGGTCGGTCCCTCTGGGTCAGTACTGCACTGTGTTTCAGGCGGAAATTTTCGCTTTATTGATGGCGGCCAGAGAGGTGCTTCGGCTCAACTACGGAAGCAGGAGAGTCTTCTTCTGCTCGGATAGTAGGGCTGCACTCATGGCGCTGAAGTCAGTGCGTACGCGCTCCTTGTTGATAAAGGAGTGCAAAGGGGTACTGAGGAGAGTGGCTGAGGAGAGAAAGGTCACGTTGGTCTGGGTCCCGGGTCACACCGGTGTCCGGGGCAATGAGGCAGCGGACGCCTTAGCCAGGGAGGGCTCCTCGCATAGGCATATAGGGCCAGAGCCCCGCTTGGGGATCGCCCCGTGTGTGAGGCGGGGAGCTCTCGAAGCCTTGGCGAGAGACCGGGCCGCGGGGGGCTGGAGAGTTGCTCCGGGAATGAGGCAGGCGAGGCTTATGATGGATGGGCCCGCCCTTCCTCGGACCAGGGAGCTGCTTAGACTGACCAGGAGGGAATGTAGAGCACTAACAGGGGCCTACACAGGACATTGCAGGCTTAGGAGGCATCTCTGCTTGCTAGGCATTGGAGACGACCCGGAGTGTAGGTGGTGCATGGAAGGGGAGGAGACCCCGTATCATCTGCTCACCGAGTGCCCTGCCTTGACATGGGCAAGATTGGGAGTCTTCGGAACGGCCCTGATCGATCCGGACTCAGTGCACGGAATTGGGCTAAAGGAGTTGCTGACCTTCTACAGGAGGGGCGGCATTCTGGACGCCCTCTAGAGCGGCCTGGGGGCACAACGGGCCCATCTGGTGGCCTAAGTGCTTGGACGCCCGCGAGGGCGCCCCCCTTTAATACCAATACCAATACCAATACCTAAATATATTAATGCTGATTATATGGCAGCAAGACGGTGCCCTCTTCACAATGTTGTGCAAGTTAAAAATTCTCTTAATATGGAATATCCTAGGGGTTGGATAGGGAACGGCGAAACTATGTAATGGCCAGCCAACAGCCCCTACTTAACTTTAATGGATTTTTTCTTTTCACATGCACAGTGCACAGAACTCCAAGAGATCTTACAGTTAGAGTGTATGACAAATGAGAAATGGTGGTCACATACAGCAGTATTTAGAATAGTTAAAGAAATTTTTATTTAGTGTGTCTTGTCATTTTTAGTGATTTTGTTCAACTTTAATTTGTAAATAATTATTGTTGTTGCAGTCAGTCACGGCACTCCTTGAAATTATATAAAAATCTCCTATTTTAGCCGATTAGTCAAAAACGAGTGGGTTTAAATATAAAATGTGTTACATCATCGTATACAAGATGTTCCATAAAAAAAAATATGATGTAGGCTTATATGTTAGAAAATTGATAGTGTTTTGTTTTATACGTCACTGGAAAAAAACTTGGCTACCAATCTTACATTGTGTTTTTTGTTTACCTTGATATATCTAAATAAAAAAAAGTTACAGCCAATTGAAATGTTATCAAGATAAATTGAACGCACGGTACATACAATACTACGCTTCGGCTACGACCATTAATTTTTATAATGTAATAACGATTTACTCTCTCGCATTAAGAAATAGAGCATAGTGGGACCATTTGAGGCAGAGGCTGCTTATCATATTTTCGACTCACACTGTATATTTTGGTTGACAAAAATTACAGCGGAGCTCGCGGAAATCCTGCTCGTATGGGGTGAGTGTAACGATTTGTTGTAGATTCTGTAGACCGCTGAAGAGATTAATTTTTTTTCCCTGTCGTTAATCACCGATGACGGTATTAATAAACGCGATATTTTTTCCGTCTGTCAAATAGCCCGTTAGAAGCACAAATTCGAAACGTCGTCGTTTGCGCACGCCCCGCGTTGATTTACAACGCCGCCCGTTACCTTTAATTGCATTAGCGGCGTTAAAAATTCCTGGCGGCGGGCCAGCGGGAAAAATACATTTTAACCCGGGAGGGCGTCGTTGCCAAACTGCACCTTCCTACAGTCTTCCGGCAATGCGATGTCAAAGACGGAGGCGGCGCTAGTGCCGCAAAGTTCCCATCGCCGACCTTTGCTGCAAAATTATTTTTTTAAATGACATTGGCGCGAAAGTGAAACATTGTAATTATACGAAGAAGCAGTTTACGCAGTTTGCGTTGCGTATCACTTCACGCTAGCTAATTATATTAAATTTTAACTTTGACGTTTCCGTTTAACGAATGACTTGTTTCTGTTCTGTCCAAAGCCGCCCATTTCGAGAAGAGGACCGCGTAAGTGAAGTTAATTGGTTATCCGTGCGTTTTTTTTTTTTACTTCCCGCCTACCTAAAAATAAACCCGTAACCCCAGCCTAATTATTTTCGTGTTCCTTTTAGTGACGGTTCTTGTCACTTTAAACGATACCCGGGGTTTCGATAATACCGGAACATCGTCAAATTTATCGAAGGAGAGCGAAAAAGCTTTTAAGCTGGGTTTACAGAGGGTCAGTTTCTTGTATTGTGAATTGTTTTGTCCCAGGGTTGCCGGATCCATCTAAAAGTCATAACAATTTAGAAATTTTAAATGGAACCCTATAGATTATTCTGCTTTTGTGCGCAAAATTCTAATTTTATTTATTTATTTTTTCATTTTGCGCTTTTGCACATTTATCGTGTCCGAAACGTGAAGCAAATATGAGAAACTGACTCCCTTCGTTATTAAGAGACGGAAGCCCGTTAAATCACTATATCTCGAATTTTGTGTCAACAGGAGGATCAAAACAGGGGTAAGCCCAATTGGGAGCACCTGTCGGACGAGTTGCACGTCTTGCTGACGGTAGAGGACACCGAGAACAGGGCCCAAATCAAACTCCAAAGGGCCGTGGACGAAGTCAGGAAACTGCTCGTGCCCGTAAGTGATCGCCGACGCTCCTCTGTTCGGTTTGTCGTCCGCGTCAAAGTTAATATTTGCTCGCGAACCGTTTTATGCCTTCCGGTCCTTTCCTATTTTCAAAATAAACCGTTTTCCGGAGACACACAGTTTCCTGTATCGCGCGAGCCTGCTAATATCGCACCGATATTTTTTTCTCAATGTTTTCTTAATATTGTGAATACGTAATACTAAACGCTGTGCTTCACTTAAAAAAATATATTTCCATCAATGGCAGTCACACTTCAAAGAAAAACACTGTTACCGTATCTATTACATATCTTTAGCCATATGGGAGTTCCCTAGGGATCAAATTCGGGCTGATACTTTTTATTTTAAAACGTTTAAGATGCAGTGAGCTTTTCTTGTTTGATTCGATACACAAGTTCAGAAAGATATTTTGATTAATTGAAAATGAGTGAAGTTTTCTTTATGCGTTTAATACTTAACACTAACTGCATTTTAAAAAAAACTTAGATGCACCAAAGGTCAGTAACTTATCCATAAATCATTTTTATTTCTTCCATTTTTTCTTCAAGTCCGCTTTTTGACAACTTACTTTATGCTTCGAGCGTTTCATTTTTTTCCGAAAAGATAAACCATTTTTTTGTAAAATTTAATAATAATAATAATTAATTGTCAAAATAGAATATTTTTTTATTGATGTGACGTTTCTTTAAAAATTACTTCTCGCAACATTTTTCTTTAAGCAAATAATTGCCTTCGGCAGACGCAATATTTTTGTTTGCGCTCCTAACGTATTGCCTAATTTCCTTTATCATTACGTCGAGGTCTAAAAATTGCAAATCTCGAACGTTCTCAGTTAATTGCGGCTTCCTGTAATTCATCTGAAAAAATTGCTCAATTCATCTGTCAAACGAATATCGTGGATTGTTTTAGGTGGGACCTGACGTCATAAATGGCACCTTTTACCGTTGCCATTGTGTATGTATTCTAAGCTCGACCCAAATTCTTTGTATTGCAGAAAGGAAATGAGAAGTTTCGATATATTGATTTTATACATCATTATTATAATTTTGCAAATATTCACAAAAGTTATAATAATACTACGTGGAAGAGATAATAACCAACAAAGCAAAATAAATACATAAATGGAAATCATATTCCACCAGTCAACAACAATACATGGGATACACAGTTAAAATACACAAAAAATGTGAAACTGATTCAAAATAGTAAGAATCACAGACTAGTTTAAGAAACTTTAAGTTTTACTGGATACTTATTGCCCAGTATAATTATTCAATTAAAATGGCTGTATGAGGGGAGGGATATTTCGGGTGAGGTACACTACATTATTAACCATTTAATAAAAAACAATTTTTTAAAGGAATTTCTTAATTTCTAGATTTTCTCTCCTATTCTGGCCTAGTTGTGCGGAGTCATTATTTTCTCCAGATTTAAGTGCACACCACCGTTTATTGTTAGGACATCAAATCATTAAAGCATACTCCGAAACGCAAGTGAAATATAGAGTAAATCTCAAAATCTATCGATCTGTGAACCGAAGCATACTGTCCAGAGGTAGAGTCCTCCAAACGATATACCGTTTTTACAATCTTTTATGGTTTTAACGTCGGAATGAGTTTAAGGCTTGTCTGTTGGAAAGCGGAAGGGGCCATTCTTTTCAGCACGTTTACCAAGCCTTGAGGACTGTTGCCTTTTGTAGGGAAATTTTCTTTAATTATTAGTGTCCTTTTTATAAACCTTCTTAAAACAGTCCTTATTTGAGGTAACTCGATTTCAAGTTGAATTTGCTCATTAAGTAGATTGATCTCCTATATTCAAATCACATTAGAAAGTTAGAAAGAAAAATGTCTGCTTCTAGTTGAAAAAAATGTGTGGAACATTTGATCGAATAAGAAAATGTCAGAAGTCAACTAGTGCCAGGAATAATTATTAATGTAGGGGACGACTCCAGTGACGATTATTTATAATAAACATTTTAAAGTAAGAAGGAATTTTTCACTGGACGAACTAATAATAATCGAGGATTCTCAGGGATAAAACTATACAAATTTACCATTTTTATGCACGAATTACCGAAGTACGGTTCTGGAATGTCATTGTTGGATTGTAAATCTATTTACAAAGAGAACCCCAAGAGAGTTTGGTCTGCGGTTAGACTTTCATGAAAATTTATCAAATCAATATCGTTTGGAGAACTCTATACCTAAATCCTTCACAGTGTCGACGTTACCTAGGTCACTTTTCAAATAAAAACCTTATGCGAGCTTTAATTTTAAATTGTTGAGAGAACGCAAGTCATTCAATAGATCCAAACCATTTTCATGTGGGTTATTGAAATTTAAAAGTTCAGTTCGGTACATCGTATACACTTTTCTTCCTCTTATTTTATATATTTAATGGAAATCAAAGTATATGATGTCTTGAATTTTCGTTCCAGCAAGCGGAAGGTGAAGACGAACTAAAGAAAAGACAGTTGATGGAGTTGGCCATCATCAACGGAACGTATAGGGACTCCAGCACGAAGGCGGCTTCTGCGTCAGGTAGATATTTTTATACTTACGTTTTCAGTTTTCAACGAAAATTAACTAAAAAATTTGGCAAATTGTGTTACTAACTCACGTTGATATTTAATAGCTGATTAAGATTTTGTAATAATTATGACACTGTGATAACGTTTCCTTTTTCTTGAATTGACGCAGACCTTTGCGCCCTTGCAGCGTGCGATGAGGAGTGGCGGCGCGTCGCCGCCGCCGCGGTAGACGCCCAGCGTCTGCTGTCGCCGGCCATTCCCGGCCTTGGTACGCCGCTAAGGGGCCCCGCCACCCCTTTAGGCGCGCCCCTCATACTTTCGCCCAGGATGTCGGTTCCCACTACGGCGGCGTCCATATTGAACGGGTCTGCGCCCCCGGGGTAAGTCGATTCGAACCCGAGAACGGTAAGCCGGAGAGGATGGTCATCAAAAGTCTGTCGAGTGGATCACGTGACGTCACGGATCAATTTATCCCCCTGGTTTTACCGTTCTCCCATTCAGACGTGTTCCGGCTGCCGGTTTTTTCAATTTCGCCCTTCGGGCCGTCGTTGCAGGTCACTACTGTCGCCGGGGGACCCGCATGGCCTCCTCTACGCCCCCTACGCGGACTACACGAACTACGCCGCGCTGGCGGCTACGCCCCTCCTCACGGAATACGCGACGGCGGACCATTCTGGTGGGTTGTTTGCGCGCTGAACCACGCCTCGTCCCCTTCGACTCTCGGAACATACCACTATTATTATTGAGGGGCCGAGAAAGCAAAAACAAAAATATATATATATAGGAAAGACGCTAAACCGCGACCTCTCTGACAAAAAAAAAATGGGTCGCAGCCAGCAGCAGGCATCGGCTGACGATTTTTTAGCTTAGTAGTTTGTTGTAGGTTTAGGGGTTACTTTTTTTTCTAAGGCGCCCTTGACGGTCTTCGTTGACGGTGGCATCTAAATCCTTGTAAGAAAATATCAGGCTCGAGTCTGGGCGGGGCCGAATTTAGAGCCCGCCTCCCCCGCGGAGGCGGAGCCTTAACGGGTAGGCGTTTTTACGCGCCAGGCCATTGGTCGGGGATTAACCGTTCGGCTGATGGTTACTAACAAACGACCTCTTGTCCAAAGAAGCCCTAACAAAAGCCTATATGAAAAATATAATTAATAATCTCTTGGTAGTTGGAATTTCTTGTGAACGACTTTGCTCTTCTTTGGCCGTGATGGTTGAAACAAGTGGGCGGGGCTCGCGACGCAGTCCTGCCTATCACGAGTGGGGATTTGTTTTTTCGCGCATTGTTTTGGTTGTTTTCCCGTTCAAGTGTACTGACATTTTCTTATAGGCGTTTACGTGCGAAAGTGGCAAATTTTACTGCCCTAACGATGGGAGATGGCGCACGAAATTAACGGGAAGCGGAGCGGACCTACAGTGGCGCCGAATTAGTCACACATTATTATTTTTTATTTACAACAATTTTTTTATTATTATACTTCTGTGATAATTTTTGACCGGTCAGGTTTGCGTTTTGTACACACCCGCTCGCGCGCACGCGCGCGCACTTTTTCAAGAAGATATTTTTTATTATTATTATTATTATTTAAATACTTTTATTTTTATTATTTTTTTTTGTTTTACGCAAGTCATATTTTTATCGTATTTTTAATACTTACGGCAGTTAGCCAAACGTATAGGATTTTTTCTATTTATACAGGTAGGTTTTTACTTTAGGGACTATTATACAGTGCGTTAAAAACGCACACTCGCTCTGGTCATTTTTCGTGTAAGTCGTATTGCGTAATTGTGAGCTTCACGTGACGACCGCACGCCTTCGGATGTTTCGGTCCTTCGAGTCAGATTTGGCGACGCACAGAGGTCCAAAACATCAAAATAATGGCCAAATATATATATAAAAGAAAACTAGAACTGATATCATATATTTAGCGACAGAATTACGAACAAAAAATGATATTCAACCGATTCATCTTACTTAATTTTACTTGATTTGTTATTTCTAGAATATGTTTCAACAAAGCAATATAGCCTTATATATCTTGAGGTAATTAAATAATTGTTACATTCTGTGTCTGTCAGTAACTTTTCCATCTAGGTAGCCATGTCACTTTCTCATACATATTGTCTTTGCAATTCATTTCTTTTTGCATTCATTATTAAAGTTAACTTATATTCCACAGAAATCCGCTCAATGTTATGCTGTACCGGGTGATCATTTATATTAATGTGTCCCCCCCCAACCCCCGCCTTTTAACTTTTATATTTTACGTTTGTCATCTGGTGAAATTTGAAATTCTTGAATATTACTGCGAGCGCATATATCTCAAAAACTATTGGATTTGGGTACGGGACATATCATACAAGAAATTTTAGAATATTTTATTTAGCGTATAATATACAGACCGTTCCAATAAACATATATAACTTTCATCTCTGGGTGAGTTCTGCAACACCCTGTATATATGAAAGCATTTCTTGAAAATTGCTTATTATTTTTTGAACAACTTTTATATTTAAAATTTTTTGCCCGTAGGGAGCAGAAGGGGGGGGCATTACAAATGATCACTTCTAATGATCAATTCTTAAAAGCTTATTTGTTACTAAAAACCAACTCAAAACAGATGAAAACAGATTGAGTGGAATCATGAAAGTTTGCTATTTAAAGCCGTACGTTTACGTAATATTTCATATTATAGCTCTTTGAATGATACTATTTATCAAAATACTTACATTGGAAGTTCTCATTCATACTTTCCTGGATTGTTGGAACAAATAGCCTAAAAGTAATATAGGTCTACAAAATTAAACTTATTGACATATGTCTTTATTTTGAAAACTGATTTTATATCATTTTGGTGGGAGATTTCAAAAATTTCATGCATTTATTTGTATCACGTAAGGTTTTGCAAATATTAAAGGGAAAAAAACGATATTTCTAAATTAATTTAGTTCTTAGAGTTCCCAAAAAACATCAATTATTTCTTTAAATTTTAACATTAAAAACAAGAATACTTTCTTTTATCTTGGCATCAGGTAGGGCTGAAAATTTCTCCCACAAATATTTGAAACAGTGTCTAGGGCTTTAACAAACTGCTTCATCGCACCAAGTTTGATATGAAGAGGAGGCAGTAAAACTTTTTTGGGGTTAACTAAACAACCTCCTAGTACATTTTTGCTACTCGGTGCAATGCTTGTTCAAGAGGACCATTCTATTTCATTCTATATAATGAAAGTTATTTGGATGGTTCACACAATGACTTTTCCACATTTATACGTTCTAGAACAGTAGAAATACGCAACAACAAAGACAATATTATCCAGTGTTGCCAAATCAGATTTAATTTCATAAAAATAAATTCATTTATAGGTATGTATATTAATAAAATAATATTTTTAAGATATAGAACGCTGTAAAAATAATGATAGAGAAAAAATATTTCGTTTTTTGGAAAAGGGGCCCTCAAAAATATACAAATAAGCAAACAGCTTTCAAACATCAAAATCACCTGTGAGTTTGGATGCAGCGCCATAGAGTAATATTATTTGACATACCGTTCAACTCTCCAAGGCCATCAAAAGTTATAAGGCTGCCGTACCGACGCGCGTCACGTGAAGATCCGAAGTCGGTCGAAAATTCTTTCGTTTTTTTTTTCGGAATTTTGCCGTTCACTTAAAACTAGGCCCGTAATTGTCGCGATGTTTCGAGTCTTGAAAAATTTCGCGGGATTCTTGTAAATAGTTGTTAGTTTAAACATCACGAGTCGCTCGCGTCTCCCTCTCTCGGCTAGAGCGAACGCGATTCGGTAGACTTAATTTTTTTTTGTATTTTTCGTGCATTTATCCTTAAACAATATTTATTTATTATTTGCCGAGTGAAGCTATTCAGTGGCGTGGCCGCGCGGATGCGCGCGCCTCGTTTTGTACATAAGTAAAATCCGAGAAAAATGTTACTGTAATAGTTTTAAAACGTCGCCTCTCTTTCTCCTTTTTTTTTGTTTACCCCGAGTAGCTACGAGGTAGTATTAGATGCGGGGACGCATTTTGTCCGGCGACGGAAATTTCCAATCATTTCGCGTTGGGATATGAGTTAGGTATCGAGATCTTTATTCTTCTTTCTTGTAATAATTAGTAGGAAAAAAATTCACAGCTTGTTTACAACCGAATTCCTTGAAGAACAAAGTTAATAGAAAAATATCCACCATAGTTCAAGCTTAAGGTTGATCAAAATGGTCGCCAACATGGCCTTTATTTTTTTAGAAATAACGAATAATGAAATACTTGCACACTAGCTGGCCAAAGAATAGATTTGGCTTGGTTTGTTCAGAAGCAACTGTTGCACGGAGAGATTTTGCCTCCCCGCATCCACTACGCGAGCAGCCATCTAGTGCCATTTTAGGTTTAAAAGCGCGTTGGAAATTTCCGCGCAGACGTCCCCCAACCCGCCACTTTCGGCGATTGTTGTTTGGTTTCATTACGTCACTATATGTGTGTATGTACAGGTGCGTCGGCGGTTGCCAAGCAACGCAGGCATCTGGGGCAGATAAGAGAGCACCCCTATCAGAGGGCGGGCGCGCTCTCTTAACCGATTTTTTTCTAAAGACAAACTGTCACGAAAGGTTAGTTGATCATTTGTTTTTGTTGTTTTTTTTTGCGCGTCTCGTTGCAGGTCACGCGCGCCGCTGAGCGCTGACGGGCTCTCAAGAGACGCGTGCGCTTTGCTTTTTGTCGCTCGGTATCAAGTGTCAAAATGACGGATCCTTACATTTAACAATTTTTTTTCCTGATGCATTCAGTGGAGGGAAAAAGACAACGTAGCCCCTCGATAATGGGTCCGAACTAGATTATACCTGTTTTGACAAAAGCATGGCGCGCGTGCAACCCGTCTTTACGTATTTGCCCCTCAAGTTCGAATGCGAACGAAAGAAGGCGCCACATTTTATTTGTTACCGACATTTAAAGTTTCTGTAGTACGTACGGCAAAGTAGTTGTTTACGTCTTAATGGTTAGCATAAGAACCTCCGACTGCTAGGCTTGACCTTGTTCCTTTATACTTCGTTATACCAAAGTATTATTCTTTAAATTCTGATCACTTATCAACTCTAGTTCCGGCAGTTGTGGGACTGCTTCCCACGATTTTTCAAATCCTCCATAGAGAGCCGCACCTGAGTTTGTGGCTAAAACTCTCCCGGCATTTGGTCTCTGCCACAAGATTAACTTTGGAAATCTCAGTCAACATTTTTTCTATATGTATGTAATATAATGAGCTTAAAGCACAATCTATGCAACGTTCTGGTCGCCAAGTTAGACTGTCGTCAGCAGATGATATTAAACCCTTGCTAATCCATTTACCCTCTTTTCTAATTGAATTAGTGATTTTACATTTTCAGTGTAACCTATTGGATACCAACACAATATTTTTGCAGTGCACCTCATAGAGGATTAAACAAAGTATTAATACAACTCTTGAATTGATCGAAGTTTACAAGATCAAAAATCTGAAGCTTCCGAACTTAAATACAATCTGTCTAAAAATTGTCTACAATTGGATATATGTTTTCATTTAACTGACCTTTATTTCAGTCAAATAGAATGTGTCCATCATTTTACAGCTCACAATGCGTGTGTAATCTGAATGCTGAAAATGCCTATTATTTGCTTTCACTCCTCCTTACCTGTCATTATTTGTGACCTTCAAAGCCCTCCGCTGACCCACCTCGCCTTGAAAGGTTTCGTGAAGCTTTTGGGTTTGTCAGTGGAACCTTTTTTGGAATCGTTAGGCGGTTTTGCGAACCAAACTAGTCCTAGCAGTCTACCCCGCGTACCTCACCCACACCGCCACAGTGGCGCCTAGTCTCGAAAACGGATAATTAATTCATTATTCACTTAGAGTATGTTTTGTACATATAATACGCACTCGTCGACGCCTTCTTTCTTCGTCTACGTTTTTCTACTCTTTCGACATTCTCACTGTTGGCGATTACGCGAGAATCACTACTTAATCTCTATTTATACTTGTAAGTAGTTTTATATACGTTTATATTATTATCACGTAGAGCATATATATATATATTCTATATTTTTTGTATATGTTGTTGACTTGCGCCAATGTGGAACAAAATATATTTATATGAAAATCTCAATCGGCTCCGTTTTTATTTATCATTCCCCGAAGGCACGCCGCTCTATGATAGAACGATTTTACATTAACCGACGATTTTGGTAATCAACTATTAACGCAATTAACACATTTTAATTATTATTAATTCCACATGGCCAAGTAACTCTTTTATTCTGACAGGGAGTGAAAGTAGTAAAATAACCGAGTGACTGTGACGGGGTAGTTTTTGGTGCACTTTCTTCCGTTATCTTTCGGCACGCATTTATTAACCGCCATTTCCGGCGATCGTTAATTGGGTAATAGTCGATACCGTCGAAAAAAGTGCATTCCTATTTTTACGCTTTCCTTAACCAAACGTCATCGCGTTTTTGCACACACATTTCACATTTTTAAAAAAATCTCTAATTCGACTACCACTTGGTTATTTTTACTGCTCTCACGCCTCAATATTGTGTACGTACTCTTCGCGCTTTGCCGGCGACGTTACCTAACCTAAAAAGTGGGCGAAACGTCACCGGCAGGGGCGGCACGACGATAAAAATTACTAACAGTCTGTTTTTTCTTTCTTTTCTTGTTAACCCTGTGGGCCAGCTTGCGGAGTGCTAACCAAATCGTCACACATCCATGCCAACTCCTAAGTACCAACTAACGAAACAATTCGGGAGGCGGCGCCCCTCCACAACCCACCCCTCGCCCGCCGGCTATAGAAAAGAATGGGTAGCGGTACGTCTAACAAATTACATCACTAACATTTTTTTAAAATTATTTTGGAACATTAATTCTACCGTTTATTTTATGTTTTTATTTTATTTTTTCAATTTATCGACGAACGGCCCCCGCCGGAACGGTACGCCATTGGTACCGTGGAGTATGGCGCGGCTCCTTCGTCGTAATGGCTGGTTTACACATTGCCGTACTTTTGACTAACAGCGACATAACCGTATCAGTAGTAGTGCATGTCTCTTTCTCATGCCATATTTTTATTATTATTATCATCGTAACCCAATGTTTAGATTAGAACGCAGTTTGAACGAAGCAATGTGTGAACGAGGCATCCGCACTTGAAAATCGAAGTAGGCGTGCGCGTTGCGCACTAAACACGTTCGTGGCGTTCAATTGTCAATTATTATTGTTGTTGGATTAATCGGTATTTCCAAAATTGTGCCTTGCTGGTCGATAGTTTATCACGACTCGTTTGGTGCGCAACCGCGACACACATAGTATAGACTTATATAGTGTTACTAATATCTTTTTATACTTGTATGTCTGTCTTCAGTGAAGTACAAAAACTTTTAGTGCCAATTTTTCAAAAGTTATATAAGCTGAACGTTCCGGAAAAATTTATCGATTCAAGGGTCAGATTCTCGAATATTCTCTCGCGATTTCCGCGTAAGTACTTACGGTAATGAATTTTTCCGGAAGGGCCTGTAGATTAGAGGCAATTTATATAGAGAAGCAATAATTTGTAGACAAGGTAAGTAAGACTTAAGTTAGGAATTTTGATGACGCGTCGACGCGAACAAAGCTACGATTCTGATTATGTGAACCTGAACGCAATATAAATTTGATATTTTCAATATTTCGCAACGTTATCGTTGAATGGCAATAACAATCTCCGTCCTGAAGTAAAAAATAGTATATCAAAAAATACTCAGAGCGATGAGAGTGGTAATCAGGTGCAATACGCTGGCTCGATAACATTTGATTTTGTTTTTAATTGCGTGGAGCCAAACGTGCAATCTCAAGAGTTTTTTATCATTATTATTATTATTATATAAAGAATGATCTAATGTTTGTTTTAGAAGATGGGCTGGGAAACTTTAAAGGGAGAGTCGTTGAAATTCAAATGCCTTGGTCCTATAAAGTTAATAGAGTGTTATAGGTATATTCAATGTTGTACTTAGATATGATTATTTAAAAAAAGGCATATATTGTGTATCGATGTTATTATCCATATCTAAATAAGAATATAATTCGTGTTTGTTTGAGCAGTTTAAGTCGAGACAAGGCATTAAGGAACAGGTGGGGCGACCGTGAAAATTGCCGGGCGCTTATCAAACACTCTCGGCAATTTTGGCGTCAATCCTCCATTATATTATTTATGTTGATTTCAGTGTTAGTTATTATTTTTAAAGTGTCATATAAAATTAGGACTGCAGATAACTTTGATGTTTTCAACTGGACGCACAGGGACCAGGTTTACCGACACACTTGTCCCGAGCAATGTGCACAAGTCGCAAGAAAATTTCATTAAATTATTTAACGTTTTATATTGGTTTTTTATTACACCAGCGGATTGTAATCAATCTACACCCCCCCCCCCCCCCCAAAATGCGGCATTGAAATTATCGCGTCATTTGTCGCTGGTTGGTTTTGTCGCAGATACCGTGAAAATAACACATCTCTCATTTAAAAGTGCCTGTATAGACATACATAGTAGCTACATGGGTCTGTACACAAGATTTTAGTATTAAAGTGCCTGTAAACCCACGTATATAGTGGCTGCATGGGCTTGTACACGAGGTTTAAATATTCTTCTTTCACTTCTAGTGGCCAAGACTACATAAGGTCATTCGGCTAGCTTTCAACAATGAAAAACATTCAAAATTGTTAAACGATGCCTTCATAAAGGAAGTGTTTGGACCATTCCATCATCCTTCAGGTTAGTTAACATACACTTAATACGTTTTGCAAAAAACAGCCACCCCCGGCTGCCTTTAACCGGCGTGAACCGAAAAAAACAGTTGGGCCGACAATGATTACAGATTTAAAACCTTCACAAAACACTTTGTGCGACGATTACAAAAGATTCTGCCGGGAGCGAGCGCAGGTTACACCGCCACGTGCAATGTTCGCGATAGAATAGGTTTTAGTATTATCGTTGTGTATTGTTAAATGTCTTTTAAAAAAATAATTTATTAATGAAAAATGTACAATGAAACGTGAAGATCGTGTTCCTAACCTAAAATCACTCGTCGTCGGACAACTCGCTGTTCTCTTCTTCCTCATCGGTCAGCTCGCCTCTGACTGAGGTTTCATACTCTAAAATTTCGTCGTCCGACAAATGCGAGTTACCTTCAACAAAGGAAGCGAAACGTTTTACGTCTTTTATTTTCAAAGCGGTCTTCCACTGGTTACATTCGGGACTGGAACAGTACTGTCGCAATTCCGTAAGCGCTTTGGCCGTTTCTCTCGCCCCCTGCTCGTAATACTGGTCGTTGGTGAGCAATTTGATTTTCGGCGGGAACCTTCGTTTCCTACAAGAGGCACAGGCATTATAAATTATTATTTCCATAGCTTGGCAGAGGGGATGGGTCGTACCAATACTTTTTTGGCGCCGAAACCCACTTTTTGGGCGTGATGGTCGCCAGTAGTAAAATGACAATCTGGGCCATAGCGGCTTCCTGGAAATGGCTGCTAAGAAATATGGCTACGAGGCCTGACAACTGCAGGCTCCACTTTATCAAGTTCACGGTTCGTTTGTTTTCTACGGGACCCCAGCGGTAGCACACTACAAGGTTTTAATTAAATTCAAAGGAAGTGTGTACTAATGCAAATAAATACAACTTACAGATGAAACTTACAGATCCCGTAACTAAAATGTACCACAGAACGTACATTTTGTAGGTGGTCATTACAACTTTTAAATTATCCCAGAGAATTTGCAAAAAATATATCACAATGGTCCATCCACACCCAATGACCCCGTACATCAAAGGTTTCTAAAATATATAAAATATAGTTATCGTTGCTATGGAATAGGTAATAGTATATTATGCAATGGGTTTAATAAATGTACTTTGAGGCCTGAGATTCGTTTTGGAAAATGGGAGCAGTGTTTCGTACAATACTTTGTCCATGACCTTTAGTTTGCAAATCAGTAAAAATACCATCATAATGGAGAAACCTCGAAGGCAAAATGTCCAAAGTGACGAAACTGATATAAAATAAAACAGGGCGTAGAAAAATAATATTTTTAACACCTACCCGGGGGAACAACTTGCTAATGAAGTATATCAGAAGCAAAAATGAAGCGCAAATACCAAATGTGATACCGCAGACATAATGAAACAGTGTGTTTTTGCTTAAATTGTTCGCAGCAAGAAATAACAGCACACCGAAAACCATACTTAACACCTTCCACAAGTCTATTCCTAAAATTCACCTTAAATCATCTACAAACCAAACAAAATATGCTTACTTATCACTTTCAAGTGGACGGAATATGACTCTTTACTCTCAATACCGATACAGCTGGTGTTAAAAGGATTCAATTTGATAGCTTTGGACTTTGAGGACCAGAGTCCAGCGACAGACCAGCTATATCTTTTATCCAGCCATTCATTTTCCACTTCCTCCGGAGAGTTACCATCATATTGATTATAATCATCCGACGAATGTTTTATAAATAGCTAGAACAATCTCGGTAAGAAAAGCGACAAGCTCTTTCGAATACATACAACTACGCTTTGCCAAATATGAACTATGTACTTTGGTTTTCCCTGGTAGCAAAAAATATGCAGGTCTTTGGTCTTGTATATCGGCTCGTACCTGTACACCTCGTCTTGTTCTAAGAAATGCACTACAAACAAATACCAAAATAACCCCTTTCGTTTAACCTCAAACATTAAAGAAATTTACATTTGTTACTATCTTTCCTAAAAGCACACGAAGTCGATTTTGTTAAAAGAAAAACTGTTATAAGCACAATCCAATTAGCTATCCTCATTTTGTGGTCTACGTTAAATGAAACGATCAGCAAAATTTAAACTTTCCAGCAGTCCGCCATATCACAGAAAATGAAAAGGTTGGATTGATTTTACGTCTAATGACCAATAATACAATAGGACATTCGGCCAACTTAAGAAAAGTGAAAGTAATAATTCAAAACAAACACAACACAAAAAAATGTTGGGCTCGACTGCTAGGATCATTCGCCCATTGCCGACTTCCGTCGAGGATTTTCGCTTCTGGTCAATGACCACCACGTACAAAGAAGAAGAATAACCAATAATTTGCTCAGCTAGCAAAAAACGATTCTGACCGATACCAAAAAAATCGGCTTTCCACCGCGGACCATCCGGGCCCATCCGGCCTCCATACCGGCGTGAACAGGGAAAAACGACGGGGCCGACGACGATTGTCACTTTAAAACATGCACTGAACACTAAAAACACTAAGTCCACACAGTGGAAACCGATATCAAACTTTTGAGGACGAATACAAGGGATTCTGTCGGGAGCGAACGGAGGTTAAACCGCCGCGTGCAATGCTCCACCACAGAATCCCAGTGAAACTAATACTAAAATCATGAAGAATGCCTTCTTAAAAGAAGGGTCTGGACCAATCCATCATTCTCCATGTAGATTAACAGTTACAAAAAGGTCACTCGGCCAGCTTACGACTAGTGTAACATATACAAAAACCTGAAGAAGGGTCTCCACCAACCCATCATCCTCCAGGTTGATTAACATATACAAAAACGGAAACAATTTCTAAATAAATTTTCATAAAATGACGACCGATTTTTCAAACAGCTCCCGCGATAATCTTATACGGGATATCCGGCCTGGTTACCAGCGTGAGTACAAGACATCCGGAAAACATATACATCATGGAATAATACATCACAAATCCGTGTACATTCGCGTAAAACGAACACTATTTCTCGAAATCATAGGCACTGCGCCTCTATCACTTCAGGTAACAAATGTACAAAACAAAATTATCTTTAAACGACACCAATTTCAACCGATTTTTACAATTTTTTTGGAACCGGGCAGGAGCAACGTCCCCCAGGTGCAATGGTTCCATCCTGGATTCAATGAAAAGGTTACGTCAATCTTAACGTAATTCTTCTTTGAATTTTAATTCAAAGAATTCAAAATTTAATGCAACCCATGTAATTTAGTAACTTATAATTAAGGAAAATAGTTTTGTTCAACACACCTAACAACATATTTTGTAAAAACAAAGCTCTGAACACCGCCGTCCTGCCGAGTGCTCAGGATGTCGCGTTTCTAAATTCTGAGTCACAATGAAAATTGGAGAACCGCCAATACAATTTAATAGATTTTCCTAACTCCGCAAGCGCTGTTAAAAACTAATGTAAGCAGTATAGTCGAAAGCTAATTTCTTTTCTTCCCTAATTTAGATTATTATTGTAAGCTAGTATACATGGAAAGACTAATTTTCAGTGCACATCTACATTTATTAATACATAGTATTTTACATTAGTAGAACAAGGCATTTAATAAATGCTCAAATAATCTATCCTTCTTCCAACTGCATCTCCTCCCAGCTATGACCCATATAATAGAGGAAAAATGTCACAATCCAAAACAATATGACCAGCATTATGATGCAACATGTCCCCAAGTATCACCTATAGTCTGTTTTATCGTGCATCTCCTTTTCACCCCTGTATATCTTGTAACTAACCAAAAAGTCGCGACAAAGTTTGTACAGGGTGTAGTAGTTGAAAAACAGCATTAGCGCTAGACTTACTATTTTGTACCAATGTGTGATTCGAACCAGCAAGAATAACTGGTAAAAAATCAACACAACATGGCAGAATAGCAAGAGGCTTAGCAGTTTTGCTGGTATTAAAAACATGTTCTGTAAAAAAATGGTACATTTAATTCCTACAATGACCGTTAATGAATACTCTTACATAAAACTTTGCCATTCCCTTATCGCCAGGTCGGCTGCTATTGCAGTGACCTTTCGCCCTCCAGATGACTTTGTCATGCTTAACTAACACACCAGAAGGCCAAATACAATCCTCCCTCCAGTCATTAGTAACTATAACCAAAGTTCGGTCAGTTTCCAGTTTCTCCCATCTTCCTAAGTGTAAAGCCGACCTGTGCAAAATGTCACAGTACCGTAGCGGCAATAAATGGGTTGTGGCAAAGATAAAACTGGCAAAAAATATGAAAAACGCATGTTGTGTGACCCAGAAGATATCGTATTGCAATTGTGGCTGAAATGAGCAAGTTCAATTGCATTTTATTGTACCCTGTTGTTGAAGGTACCTGGGCGAAACAACATGGAATAAATCCCCCATAATAAGCGTTTACTACAGCGCTAAACAGTATCTGTCTCAGTCGATCATTAAAATTATTCCTTAAATTTTCTGCTTCTTTTCTTATCTCGATGGCGTTAGAACTACATGCGTGTAAGGGGGGCTTACCGTCGCTACACCAAGTCATCCCTTCGAAGATGGGGCGAATTTTGCACCCGAACAATATCAAGTACACTAGGATACTGCTCAAAGTGACTTTATAAATGAAAATTCATTCCTTGTACTTACGGATAACAGAGGTAGAGTATGCTGACTTTAGTTTGGTTTTCGACGATGAAACAAGCGCATATTCCCAGTTTGGCACAGAAAAATGCGAACAAAGCGTACCTGAAGTAGACATAGTTCAATTCATCACCAGTCCTGACGGTGACAGGTGGATCTAATATTTGCGATATAAAGCAGCCCAATGAATAAATCAATCTTCGGGAAAATACGATTAAAATAAACGTCAGCAAATGACCGTCGATTAAGTAAAAGTTCTAAAAAAAAACAGTAGGTCTGCCAAGTATGGATTATTATTTAAGCTGCCTCACCATTGTACTGCTAGAATAAGAATGGGGCAGCCACCAGACTGATCGGTACAAGTGCAAGTATTGCAAACCAGCTGAGCACATGGCGAAAAAATACATTAACACTTCGAAAGAAAACTCACCGTCTACCGGTGTGTTGGGAAAGGGGAAATGTTTAGGTAAAGAGGGTGCTTCGATGCTCGTGCATGTTGAGGCATTAGCTACGTGTGGCGCTCGTTGGCTCCCGCAGTTGTCCCCTCGCCCCCTGGACAGCTTTCTCGAATTGATTGGCATTTTTCGAAATAATTATTTTAAAATTTCATGCACATCCAAGCCAGATTTAACCTCACTTCTGTCAGCTGTTGCCTTCTTCTCTTTAACGATTTTCGAACCATTAACCAGATGTTCAGTGCTTTTACTGTGATTTGAAGACTAATTCAATTCAATTCAATGATGCGTTTCACAGATAGCTGTTGGGCACGACTACCAGGATCATTCGCCCATTGCCGACTTCCGTTGAGGATTCTCGGATCTTCTCCAGGAAGGAGACAGAATTTTGAAGTTCTAAATGTCGAGGATTTTCGTATCTTCTCTGGCGAAGAAGACTGATTTTTGAAGTTCCAAATGTTGAGGATTGTCAGATCTTCTCCAGCGAAGGAGACTAAACTTTAAAGTTCCAAATGTCGAGGATTTTCGGATCTTCTCCAGCGAAGGAGACTAATCTCAGAAGTTCTAAATGTCGAGTTTTCGGATCTTCTCCAGCGAAGGAGTTCTTCTTTTGAAATTCTAAATAATATACATGATGATTAAAACCAACCCATAGACCATGAGCTAGCAAATCCAAAAGCGGTTATAAGCAGATACCACATGCATCAAGGAATCTAACCACAAGTCGTGCAACAGAATCCATACATCCAGGGTGAAAAAGTGCAGAAAAGGCACTAATAGGAGCGGGTAAGCTGGCATCAATGAGGGACTCATACAGAATTTGGGAGTTATTCCGATGCAGAGCACAATCAAACAAAATATGTTCAATATCTCCCACCCCTCCACAAGCACACAGGTTAGATATTTTGACGTTTATCTTGTAAAGATGTGCTGGGGAACTACAATGATTACTCCTCATTCTGCACACTGTTGTAATCTCCTTTCTAGACAGCTGCAGTTTGTGGAACCATGGAACTGTTGGAGGTGTCTTATAATCTGCACTATAAAGTCTGCCCTTTGAACGGCCCCACTCTCTCCACTTGATGGGCCAGATGTACCACATCTTTGCTCTAATTATCGGGATAAATTCACTAAAAGGGGGCCTTAAATTCAGCGGATCTAAAAGTCTAGCTTCTGAGGCTATTCTATCCACCGTTTCATTATGTCTTATCCCCGAATGGCTTGGAATCCAGCATAACGATATTTTCCCCCCAAGTCTGCGCTTCAAAATATCAATCTTTGCTTTAATATCTAGTAGAATGTAGCTGTTGGAAGCTTCAACCGCACTGCATCCGAAGCTCTGCCGGGCACTTTTGGGATCGGAGACAATTACTTAATATTATAATCTAATATAAGATCTAGGGCGTAACTAATAGCTACCATTTCTGCAGAGCAAATACAAAACGCGCTATTCAACCCATGCCCGACCGTAACATTGAGAGACGGAATAAATACTCCAAAGCCAACTCTATCATCTGGTCCCTTAGAGGCATCGGTAAATATAAATGTCTCTTCCCGTGGGAGTAAAAAAGATTCATTAATCATGACTATATCCGATTTGAAGACTAAGTTCAAGTTCAATGATGCGTTTCACAGATAACTGTTGGGCACGACTACCAGGATCATTCGCCCATTGCCGACTTCCGTCGAGGATTCTCGGATCTTCTCCAGGAAGGAGACAGAATATTGAAGTTCTAAATGTCGAGGATTTTCGTATCTTCTCTGGCGAAGAAGACTGATTTTTGAAGTTCCAAATGTCGAGGATTGTCAGATCTTCTCCAGCGAAGGAGACTAAACTTTAAAGTTCCAAATGTCGAGGATTTTCGGATCTTCTCCAGCGAAGGAGACTAATCTCAGAAGTTCTAAATGTCGATTTTTCGGATTTTCCCCCCAAGTCTGCGCTTTAAAATATCAATCTTTGCTTTAATATCTAGTAAAATGTAGCTGTTGGAAGCTTCAACCGCACTGCATCCGAAGCTCTGCAGGGCACTTTTGGAATCGGAGACAACTACTGCCTGTTTAATATTATAATCTAATATAAGATCTAGGGCGTAACTAATAACTACCATTTCTGCAAAGCAAATACAAAACGCGCTATTCAACCCATGCCCGACCCTAACATTGAGAAACGGAATAAATACTCCAAAGCCAACTCTATCATCTGGTCCCTTAGAGGCATCGGTAATTATAAATGTCTCTTCCCATGGGAGTAAAAAAGATTCATTAATCATGACTATATCCGGACCAAAGTCACGAATAAGTCTAATAATACTATCACAATTACTTCTAATACCGCAAGTGTTCCAATGAATAATTGAGAGATTACTAATTTTAACAGAAAGATTTGACTGTCGATCTGGGAACATTCATATATTAAAACCTGCATCCTCCGGGAGGAGGCAGGGAGTCAAAAAGACTCTCAATTTCATGGTAAGCACTTTTACTGGGTATATTGGACAAGACTTTTTTCTTTAAATTTTCAAACCGATACCAAAATTCACCAGAGGAGGAAACCCCTGGAGAAGCAGTGTCCATCTCGGACTCTGACGATAAATCATTTAAATATGAGGGAGAAGATTGACTTTTGCTAGTGTGATTCAACTTCTGCCTAGTCAACGGCGGCACGAGACAATCCCTGTGGGCGTCCCTATCATACCCTGATTCTATTTGGGGGGACTTACGCTTTTTTGCTATGACAGAATAGGTTTTAGAAGCAGATCTAGGGGAAGGCTGAGAGACGGGGGCAACCGTGTTATGAATAGGAGGGAAATTTTCATTAGAGCGATTAAACTCACTTGATTTGGGGCCTCTTGGAAAGAGTTTGGCCGCTTCAAAAAAGGATAAGTTGTACCATGCCATAGCCTCATTGATTTTCTTCTGTCTGTCCATTTCCGGACATGATCTATCAGTGGCCTGATGAGAGCCTTTACAATGGATGCAAGTTGGCTTTGGAGATATTTCGCAATTACCCAGGCTGCATTTACCTTCATGATTTAAGTGGTCTGTCGGGCATGGTTTCTTCTTATAAAACTGTTCTTTCAGTTCACAATGAAATACTGGATGATCTCCAGCGCAGAAACTACATCTACCCTTGCTTTTACATTGGTTTTTCCAATGACCAAACCTGCAACAATTCATACATAAGACAACAGGACTAACATATTTTTCGATTGAACACTCATTTTTATAGATACTGATTGATTCTGGGAGAGTTTTACCATCAAATGTTATTATATAATCATTAGATGGAACTGTCTTGAAACCAAAAGTGCCAGGCAGAACACCTGGGCATTTGACCCTTTTAGTTAGTCTGCGAACATTAACAATCTTAACGCGCTTTAGCGATCTTCCGATGTTAACCTTGGCTTCTGCCTCAGAGTAAAAATCATCCTCATCAATTAAGTCACCAATGTCCCTCACCAACCCTCGGCAAGTGACTAGTCTTTGAGGTATATACTTATTATACCCACCAGCTGTCGAATATGTTTCATTAGATAAAAATTTATTTGCAGACTCAGAGGTGTTAAACTCCAAACCGATTTTATTGGCTCCTTTTCTAGAAATTTTCAATATACCTTGAACTTTCTGCGCTTGAAGTAACTTCCCAAAGTTCATAGGATGAAGAGTCCCCACCTTACTTGTAATCCCCTCCAGAATCACCATAAAAGGCCCCTGGTCGGTGATTTCATATTTTGTTTTCCGATTTACTGTCCTTCTTATGTTTGCGGAGATTTTGGCAACTTCCCGCAGGATTTCAGCGTCTTGCTCGAACTGATTCTTGATAATCTGGATCTCTGCCGATAACTTTGACAACTCTTCACCTGAGGGCACATCAAAATACTGGGGCCTGGAAATATCTTCAGCAGTTTTTTTGCAATCCGGTGGCAAAATGTTACAAATAATGGCGTTCAACGGACGATTTTGAGAATCATTGGATAAACTGTCATTTTCTTGTGCTGCACTAACCGTCGGGGGGCCCTCGCCCCCCGAAGAGTCCCCCATGGTTGAGGTTAGAGGGCCAAGAGGAGGAAACTACCAGCCACAAAAACTGATATATAACTGGATGCGTTAAATGGACTCACCAAATAACAGAAAACAATAAAAATTAGGGCCGATGCCTAAAGATTTGCACAACAATACTCAGGTAGTGTTCACTCCTTCGCTGTTGTACCGAAAAAAAAAAAACATTTGAAGACTAAATTCAATTCAATGATGAGTTTCACAGAAAACTGTTGGGCACGACTACCAGGATCATTCGCCCATTGCCGACTTCCGTCGAGGAAGTTGAAGACTCCTAGAATCATTCTGTCATAACTTATAAAGTGGGACGAAGTACAAAAAGCTAATAAAACTTGTGGGTTCTTACGATTATTCGCGAATTCATAACACTACTATAAACAAAGTTTGTTTCGAATCACCAAAAAAAAAAAAAACGAAGAATTTGACAGTTTTGTTTGTTTTGGCGATAAGGAATTAGTCACCAGCAATACATTTCCAAAGTTGTTGTTCCGCGACGGGAATATGAATCGACTGTTTGGAAAAGGAAAACCTAAAGAACCCGGCCCCAGTATAACTGATTGTATTCAAAATGTAAGGAAAATGGGGTCAAAGTAGAGCCGGTGGGCTATACGCTCTGTTTTAGGTGGACCAAAGAGCCGAAGCGGTGGAGAAAAAGATTGCTGGACTGGAGAACGACCTACGTAAATTTCGCGATCAGATGGCGAAAATGCGGGAAGGTCCGGCCAAGAACGCAGTCAAAGCGAAAGCGCTGCGCATCTTGAAACAGAAGAAACTCTTTGAGAATCAACTGGACAATTTGCGTGGTCAGTCATTCAACATGGAACAGGCAAACTTTGCTCATCAAACTCTAAAGGATACTCATACGACGGTGGTGGCTATGAGGGATGGCATGAAACAAATGAAGAAGGAGTTTAAGAAGATTAACATTGAAGATATTGATGATGTGCAGGACGAACTGGCGGACATGCTGGAACAGGCTGATGAAGTTCAGGAAGCTTTGGGGAGGACTTACAATACCCCCGAAGTAGATGACGATGAGTTAGCTGCCGAATTGGATGCATTGGGAGATGAAATTGCTTTGGATGATGATCAGAGTTACTTGGATGATGTGCTTAAAGCACCGGAAGCACCCAGCAACAAGCCGGAGGCTGACAAGTCCAAAACCAATAAAGACGGTATTCAAGTGGACGAGTTTGGCTTGCCGCAGTTGCCTAATCACTGAATAACTGGGATATGTTTTAATAAATAGTGTATATCGTATATAATTGTTAAATTTATTTTTCATTAAAAGGCGACTTTTGTTCTGTTTTTCATTATTTTTTCTTTTATTATTTCGTCCAATTCTTTGCTCAAACTGAATGTCAGATGCATGGCTTTGTGATGTCGCGGAACGCATACAACGATATACAGACCACAAACCAAGTCGTGATTACCTAGTCGTCGATAGGTGGCGACACGTTCGAATGATTGATTTCGATATTTTCTATGGCTCCATGACAGGGCATTGAACTATTTCAAATTTAAAAAAGTCCTGCATTGAATTTGCACAGAACGCATCCGTTTCGGTAAATATGTTGGAAAAAAGTTATTGACTAGTGAAAAGTTTCAGAAATAAGTTTTTAAATAGTGTGCGTTGGAATAATTGAGCGTCCGCCATTTTTGCTGCGAAAAAAGTTTTTTAGTTGCGCCGGAGAAGTTATTCTTACAGTTATTGTCGATCGGGTTTTCATATTGTGCACGTTTGTTTTGTGTTGTTTAAATCGCCTCGAAAGGTGAGTGTAGAAGCATTATTTACTTGAACATACTGCTGTGGATACAAATAAAACGCTGGCGTTCAACAATGATTGCCTAAAAATAGGGATTTTTTTTTATTTGCAGGATTTTTACATTAAGTATATAGTAGTTACATTCAACAACGATACGTAAGGGTTTTATTGGGGATCGGTAAGCGGCCACGATTTCTGTTCCATGCTCACGATTATCGCCTGTTCGATTTTTTCGTGCAGCCAGGCCAGCAGATTTTTTGGACCCGATATTTTGATCTGACATTCCTTCGTCGAACTGTCATTCTGCAAGTAGGGAATTGTACTCCCGAGTCATTGTTTAACAGTCACTATAAATACCGGACGCATGTTTAACGTGAGTTCCACGCAGTCAATTTTGGGAAGAGAAATGATATTGTCCAGTTCGACGGCCCATTCCACCTCCCACGGGCCCCAAAGTGAATGCTTGTTGATTCGTATTACGTGTCTGAAAAAACCGTTTAATTATTTTGCCTGTGCTAGTTTACTTTTCTTTAAATAAAAATTACCCTAACGAGACGAGGATGATCGAATTGCATGTCCGTTCTAAAGCAATGTGGGTCCAGTAAGTATCGACGGAGAAACGCGAATTGCCCACCGTTTCTAAGAGGTACTCTCCCATCGACTCGTACGCCGAAAATGGCGTCAGACCCTGAAAAATTACCACCCTGCATTGTTTTGAAAATCCTACTCGCGTCGCTACTTGCCAGAATGGTATTCCTGTATCTGGTCAGCCTTTGATGGATCCTGATGGGTTCGCCTAAAATTGATGCCCGTCTGAGTGCTTCCCTAGCCAACTCCACGTGGTCCGTTTTTTCGTCCGGGTGGCGCGATATTAGAGAGAACAGCGCTTTGCCGGTAGTTTTGAAAAACATCTCGCCGTCGGATTGTATACTGACTAAAACAAAAAATTATCGTAAAAATTACAAAAAAAAACAAAACTGGCTGGAAGGAGAGGGCGTTGTTAAAAAGGACCAGCTTATGGAGCCTTAGTAAACATATTCACAGTTCCTGCACTTGATAAATGAAAGTAAAGGAAAGATACCGTCTAGCGTTACCTTCGCTATCAAGTTTCCCATGGGCACCGCGTGGTGGTATTCTTACTTAGTCACTTACCGTTGTGATTCTTGACGATGAGCTGCGCTAAAGCGACGGGCACGCTGACGTTGAAGTTCTTACCGGAAGCGGTGACCATTTTGAGCAACTCGTTATTACTCAATTCGCCGGAGGCTTTCCGCTTAGGCCGCGTCTGAAGATTATCTAGATTCAAAGAGGGAAATATGTCCATGATGCAGGTTTCCATCGCGGCTGGCGACATGCTGACGTGTCCCAGCACGCACTTGCAGCCGTACGACACAGTTTCGGCGTTCTTTTGCGGCGTTATGTGACCTACCTGCACAGTAAATTGCTTGTATTGAGAGTAGTGCCACCATCTGGTGGAAACCAAAAGTACACCACACGACAAATGAATGAACTAGATTACCTCAATTGCCGGTTGAATTGCGAAGGTATTCATCAACACCTGCAGCCCTAGAACTGTCGAGTAGTACTGCTGGAGAAATTGGCCGGCTACTTGTTCGGCTAGCTGCCCAAGGGCATCAGCCACGTCGATGTCGAGGTTTACCCACTCAACTGACGCGATCTTATGGTGAACCCCTTCCAGGGGCATGTAAGGCGCCATGTTGTAAGGAAACAAGTGGTCGAGACCTCGATTCAACGACGTCCCGTCGCTCAGCAGAGCCATCTGGACTCGATTGGAGATGTTCAGTTGCAAACCGAAGCCGGACAAGTACAGATGTTCAATTCGGCAGCATATTGGACTCGTCTTAGGTTTTGTAGCAGTTAGCGACTTCCTAATGGACGTTATGTCAGATACGTAAGCAAATGGGTGACTGTAGGTTTCGCCCAATTTCTTGTTGAGTTTCCACAGCTCTACAATTTTGGTCCAGAGATCGTTCTCGACGTTGACGGACGCGTTACTGATGTCGATTTTGATATACCTATCGGATTTGATTTTGATTTTTACCCAAACATTATCAAATACACAAATTTTGGTTTTCACTAGTTTACGTACCGGTAACTATCGAAGTCTTCATCCACTTGCCTAGCGATTGACACCTTGGCAAACGCGTTGTGTCTCTCTGGGGCAGAAAAATTTTGCACCGGCTGTAGCACTATACAGTTGCTATGTTTGTTGTCAATTTGAGCCGTTTCCACGCGAAAGTCGACGTACTGAAATCGGGAGGACTTTCTGAAATGGCAAAATAGTGCCGGAGCATAGGTCCTACGCATTTCCGCGAAGAAGGGCTTTAGCATGAACATCTTTTCAAAATCTATGTGGACGTAGTCTTTGATCTGACATTTTTTGTGCGTCGCCGATCGTCTGTACTTGTCCTCTATCCACGAGGCGAGTTCCAACGTAAGCGTCTTCCATTTCTGACCTACGTTCACTTCCCAAACGGCTGGCGTATCTGCCAGACAAGCGTGTACGTGTTCCTTTTTATCCGCCTCGGAAGTGAACACCGACAATTCAACTCCTGCCAGTGACAGTACCGTCTCCAAATGACTTTGCTCGTGGAACCTGGTCTCGAGTATGTTGTCGAAGATGCGCTGCTCCTGCGTGAATAATAAAATTTGTTGCCGGCCTTCTTTAAATGACGCCCAATAGATGATGATCTTGTCCCGGCGGATTTTCTTGTTCAGCGCTTTAGGTGTGCTGTTGGAGCTGTCGGAGTCATCTTCGCTGGAAGACGATTCTTGTCTGCCCGTCGTCGGGGTTACCGAATGGAACTTGATCTTCTCCTCGCCGTAGCTGGATGTTCAATTAATAGGTCACTCATTAGAAGCGTGAAAAAATACCCTTTTGCCGTTTTACCTATTCTTGGTGATATCTAGCAAGAAACCGGAACCTTTGTTATTATAAACGTTCCACGAGAGGTGCCTGGGCCGGCTGGGATCATCCCACGTGTACAAGAGGGAGTTGTTTGGGCTCATCAGCGTAACCGGACTTTGATCCTGTTGTTGTATTTTCAAGAAAACGTCGGCGCAGTAGTTTTTTATTAACACCGGGGCGTCGCCTCTGCGATATGGCTTGAAAGTCACTCGAAACGGACCGTCTACACCGCCCGTCACGTCCACAGTAATGGCCGTCTGCAATATGTTGCTTAATATTGTTCCTCTGCGACGAGTCGCTCGTATAATTTCTTACCCCTTTGTCCATGCGCAGGACGGTCTTGTGATGACAGGAGACGAAAAACGGTTGGGAAATGACCTTGCTTTCTTTATATTTCACGTGGATCTGCATCGATGACGTTTCGGGCCAGAATACCAGCGTTTGATTGACCTCCAGATCGATCCAGAGGTCGGTTCTCTCGTTATACTCCATGAACCTGCAAATCGACGCGATATTTTTGGAAACTAAGCGGACCGTTTTCACCTCAGCGCTCTGTCCGTATTGTTGATGACCAGAAAACTGGGCAGGATGGTGATGATCTTAGTTAGTCTAGGGCAGAACGTAGACAGCGACGTGTTAAGGAAGAACAAGTACTTTTTCTTCCTTTCGTTGTCTTTGCACACGATCAAGCCCGTGGTTCCCGAGCATTCCACGCCGAAATCGTTGGACCAATTGGACTCGTACACTCGGACGTTGAGGGTCTGTTTGCAGTGCCTTTTGTAGGTGAACAATAAGATGTCGTCGTTCGGACATTCGTGGATCGAATGGGAAGACGACGCCTAAAACGTCTTACGATTATTGTGGTCTTATCGCTCTGAATTTCTACCTTTATCTTAAGCGGTAGTCCTGTCTTGTTGACAATCCAATATGGCGCGTAGAAGATCAAATTGAAGCTTCCCTCTCTCTCGCATTTGACGTTCACACTCAGATCTCTGATTTCGTCTTTTTGGTCAGATATCATCAGGACGATCTTTTCGTCCAAATGGCCGGTGACGGTCATGTGACCGGTCCAAGCTAGCGAGTCATACGTGATTTTGATAGCTAGTTTATGGTCCACGGATAAATCCAGGGAGTATACGCTGCAATTTTCTCCCGGCTCCGCTTTGACCGCCTAGAATGAATTACGTTGAAGCAAAATCTGTAGGACATCGTTGTCGAAACTTGCCTGTCTCAAGGCCACATTTTCGACTTCCAAAGTGTAGGGTAGAAAATTGTGCACCACCAATGGCGGCAGCAGCCGAACTACATAATTGGGCACGGAGTGCGCATGCGAGTTGATGGTTTCGACGTTTTTGCGTAGCGCCACCCTAAGCGCGAACGGCTCCAGGTCCGTTTGTTTTTTGGGACGACATACCAGGTTATAGGCGGTGTCCATTTCATTGGCCATGTCGCGCCACCACACCCCGGACGAATCCGGCACGTAGCGTCCCCTTTAAAGTTTCAAATATGCTTCCGGATTGCACCAAAACGAAGGCAATTACTCACTCAGCGTGCGCGGGCTGTATGAAAAGTTTGCAATGGTAAGCGATGTACAGGGGTACGTTGTAAACTTCGTGCGCTTCGATGACGGCGATACGCATCGTAGTTTCGAACGGGTTGGTTACTTCACCTACGGGTTCCAGGTTCATCTGTTGCAGTATGGAGGGTTGGTAGAGGATGCTCAGCGCGAGACACGTTTCGTTTTTTATCTGAAAGGATGCAAGTCGTTGCATTACTCCTCAGAAATTTCCGTAGCAGGGAAACAACTGAAAACGGAACTGAAAACTAAATTGTGAAAGGACTTGACGAGGGGTCAGCGTGGAGAATTTAGGCTATATCGAACCGATATTAAGGATACCGTTTAAGCAAGACAGAAATATGATGGGCAAATCCTGAGCTGTCAGAAAATGGAAAATTCTCTACCTGCAGCGGCGAACCAATTACGAAATTCCTGCCGAGTCTGTCGATACTGTGCTTCACTGCCAAATAATAACTGACCGAGTTTGCCGGATTTTGAAGTTTCACAAGTTTTTCCCAATTGCGTTTGGAGCAGTTCGTTTGCACGGGGGTGAAACCCGGCACGAATATCCTGACGAAGTGCCGGTTGATTTTGTCGTACAACTCGGCCGTACTCTGCGGTGGGAATTTGAGGCTTCTGATCGTTGGAAAGTCGTAGGCTTGCTCCACGTCTTGCTTCAGATGTCTGGAAAATATGGCGTACGAAATTCGATACTTTTCTTTCGTTTCTTCTTCGTACCTGTCCACGACAACGTTTTCGATGCAATCAAAGTTCCTCGTCGGACTGTTTGGCGCGGATTCTTCGTTTTCGAACTTTTTCGATACGACCAAGAGGTCTTTGCGAACTTTATCCCCTTTCTCGTACAGCTCCACCCTGGTTTGCGGTCCTATGTCGTTAATGACGCTGATGGATTTCGTATCGAATTTCACCGAGATGATTTTGCTCGAGTATTGTGACATCGCTTCGTTGAACACCTGGGAATATGATTTTGATTGACTAACGCCTCGAAACGACTAGCAAAAATATATAGGCACCTTGAAACAAGCTGGGGTGATCGTTATATTCAAATGGTCTTTGGCATTTATTAGAACGTAGAGGCATTTTCTGGATGAAACTTCCATTTGTTCCTTGACCTTGGAACATTCGGTCACTTCGTTCTCGTCATCGCTCGAATGGTCAGCTTCGCTGTCTTCATGTTCATTCCAGTCGCCTGCAAATGAGAGTTTTAACGCTCTGCAGAGTCTTTCCCGGCCACTAACCTGTAAATAAGTCCGTTATGGCCGCAGCTAGCTTCTCCAAAGCGTCTTCGTCGTTCTCCGAATCTGAATCGTCTAGGAACGTGCTCAAACTTGTCTTCACGCGTCTATTGTTACCGAAATTGGTTGAATTGACAGGCTCCAAGTACATCATATCTTCTCCAGAATCCTCGTCTTCCGTCGTCGTATACGATCGTGAAGCTTTCTGAGCTTTCGATATCGACGACGAGGACGATTTCGCGTACACTTTTTCACCGACGATGTCGTTGATCGGCATAGATTTGTCCTTGAAAGTAACGTTGGACCGAAAGTGTTAGCACTTAACTGCAAACTCGTGCAGTACTCACCTGGAAAATTTTGACTTGGCACTCCCAAGGACGGTACCGTTTTTCATCGGTGACTACCGGGTCTATTAGGGGTTCCCAACTCTGGACGTTTTCGTTAAAATAGTTGGCTTGCAGCGAGATCTCGCTGGTACAATGCACCAGGCTGTTCCAGTCGAATATGCTCAATTCCATGGTGGTTTTGAATAGGAATATTTGAACGTCGTCCAGTTCGAAGATAACTACCCCTTCGAATTTTGGTATGATCAGAGATTGTTGGCCTGCCGATTTACGGTCTGCTTCTTCCCCTTGGTGAGTGGAAACAGACTAGAATTTTAAATGTAATTGGTAGTTTATAAACAGAATAAATAAATTTAGTGAAGATTTTTTACCTTGTTTATATATGGTTCTATTTTTTTTGGCTCCCACAGATCGTCGAATTCTTTCCCAGCTTGACTCTTTTCACGCCTCTCAGTCCTGTCAACCTCTACTTCCGGTATTTTAAAGTGTTCGACTATGTCGTTTAGGATGTCGTTTATTGAATGTATGATCTGGCAAAGGCGCGACAAAGTTCAAAACAATACCGTGACTCTAGATAAAACATTTACCTCGCTGGCCAGTTTCACGTAGACGCCCGATATCGATAGGGTGATTTTCTGGTTGTCCTCTTCAATGCATTTGCTCACTTCCACGTCGCAGTGCTTAAGAGTAACATAGGGTTGATCGGAGTACTCGTTAAGGTCATAAAACAGGGTGTGCAAGCCCGAAAACGACATCACCAAGTTTTCTCGGTTGCTGTGTCGCGACAAGTCTATCATTATCTCGCTCTTGGTGACGAAATATCTGTGAATAAAAAGTCTCCGTTATTTTGGTCGCTGTTCTTCGCCGCTCTCTCACCTCTTTTTGTTTGACGTGGTCTCGACCAGGAACATCAGTTCTGGTTTGTTCACCCTCACCGACAATGTCAGACTTCCCGAGCAGCCCTTTGTGGGGGAGAAGCAGTGAGTGTCGCCCTCGTAACCCTTATTTATTATTCCTTTCTCCTGGGAATCCTTGGCAAAACATTCCAGAACGTAGAGGGCCACTTTCTCGCAAAAAGGAATCGAGAGAGAGAGGCACATTCGGCCCACAATGACGTCGATCGACCGGTCACCACTTTTGTTTTGGTGGAACGTGACGTCTACTATTGGAGGTTTGTTGACGGTGATGTTGCAGATGTTGTTATTGCGACCGTCTTCCGCAGGCGAACTTAATACTCTGCAAAATTACCGTCAAGTATTTCTGCTGTTCGCAATTGGAGTGGCCTTACATTTTGTTGTGGATATTGGCATCTGGACCGATCTCTTCGATAGAAATCTTGTCTACGGACAGTTTACCGTCTAGGCTTTCTTCCGTATAAGCCACGACGGACGCGTCTATGTCGATAATTTCAAGCTTGCACAATCCGTGATTAAGGTCCCTGATCGGTGAACTCAGCAGTTCGCCAGCGTCGAAAAACAGTATGATCTTGACCTCGTCTATTTTGCACCTAGCCACCAAGTATTTTTGCTTCGGCTCACAGAAGAACGCTTCCAAATCACGCACATTGCTGTCGAGTTCCATTATCTCAACCATCGGCGAAGGGGCCTGTTCGGGGAAGAGGTCCACAATGTTGGCTTCGCCGATGTTCTCCGTGTAAATGGCCATCATCATCGACAAATCCTTTTGACCCAACGTCACTTCTACTTTTTCCATCACCCCGTCCACGTCCCAAGTTTTTTGTGCTGTATTTGTGTTCGTGTACTTTTTGATGTCCATATTGAGGCACAGCGGCTCTATCAGCGTTTCCTGCATCTCCAATGTACTGTTCAACGTCATCACTCCCCTCGTGATGAGCACGTCTTTCAGTTTTACTAGGACGTTCTCCACTAATTGTCCGTCAGTTTCTTTAAAAAAGTTCTCCATGCGCAGGTTACCTAAAATCGTTGTGATGCGTTCTGTTTCGTACCTCGAGGAAAATACTTTACCAGTGTCGATCACCAAGACGTTCGGCGACGAGGATTTTTGAGGTATTAGCAAAACGGGCCCGCATACGTTGATCGAAAGGCTGATCTTGGTTTTATTCTTCAACGTGTCGGTGGCAGCTTTCACTGTTCGCCGCAACACCTTCGCATACTTTTCCATAAAATCCAGCGCCTCGAGATTAATTACGAACCTCTGCGAAACGAGCAATCTACCGCTAAAATGGACACGAATGCTTGACGGCCGTACCTGCAGCTGCACCATCAGCTTGTATAAAAATATGCAATTGATGCGGCCCAGCTGAAACTTAAAGCTACCGTCCAACGGATGCTCCTCTGCATTTTTGTCGATCGTTTCCGCTGTCCGTATATGCTGCGCGTTTCGAACGTATTTCACTTCGAAGACTTTGTCTTCGTCGGTGTAGAGAACCTAGAAACCCCTAGAGTCTGAAAAAGGAAGTTTGGAAAAGCACCTCTAACCCGAGAGTACAACGTCAACTGAGACATGTGGTCAACGTTGATGCTGCTCAGAAAGGATCTGAATACGAATCGCTCGTTGGCTCTGAAAAGGAAATCCATCTCCAGTCCGGACAACTGTACGCTGATGATGTCAAAATCGGAATTGCACACGGTCACGTTTAGGTCGGTCAGTCTGGCCGATTGCGAAAACTTGACCGATCCGGGTGGTACCGGCACGTTACTGGGTTTGTGCAGGATCTGGTAGAATGTCCCGAAGAAGCCCGATATAAGATTCTTGAGCGTGTTAGACATTTGGTTCTTTATCCTGCGACGAAGCGGTTAGTGTTTATCTGCGAGCCTTTGTGTAGTACTTACTTATTGGTCAGGTACTTCGAATACTTTATAAGAGTGTGTACCGCTTCCTGATGAAGCAGCAGGTAGACGCTGCCGAAGTTTGCCACTAACGAGGTCTCCACGCCGTGGAAATGTGTCCAGAAATCCGGACAGTTGGCTCCGACCTAGATCAGTTTCTAACGTTAAATGTGCTGAAATCGATACCGTGTACTCACTTTTCTGTAAAGTACAGTGACCACGTCCGCGTTATTGGGCATGGGGGTGTAGATCAGGTCCAAGTACTGTCCGCTAGGTGTGGTGTGCAACTTGTCCGTCAACAGGACATTGTGGATCGACATTTGGTAAGCGGGTCCATACGTCATGAAAGCGACGTCCATATTGAAGCGGCCCAGTCTCAATATCAGGTACTGGCGATTTGTGCTGTCGCTCGATTTGGAAAAAACCACATTAAACTGTAAACACGGGTTAAATTGACTATAAATTTTGAGGCTTTGTGTATCGCACCTCATTGATGACGGTTCCGAATAAACTTTGAATGTTGTTGGAGGGCGAGATATTGTCCTCCAAACCGGGAAGGTCTACCATTCGTGCCCATGCTTCGTTCATATTCTGCGCAGCAGGCTGAGCTTCGAGGTCTCTAAACACAGATCGGGTGTGTGTGGTTGTTATCGGCAAACTTACAAAGCCCTTACGTTTTTACGCAACCTTGCTCGGTACCATTAACGAGCTTGTGTTTCCTATATTTCAACGGGTCCGATATTCGGATGTTGTTTAGTATTCGTCTCATATACTTTGTGGTCCACTTCGCGGTTATAGTGTCGGTGATGAAATGATCGGGTTGCATGGCTTCGGTAATCACGTTGATTCGGATTTGGTCGATATCGAAAAACTTCAGCAAAAGGCCCAGTTTTTTCTCGGAAACGTTCATCTTCACAATGTTAAATGTGACGTTGAATTTAAGCCTGAAAACCACCGTTGCATTTCCAAGACCCTGTCATTACTTGCGCATCTCACTTGGGTAGAGTTGGCAGATCCAATACAGACAGAGCGTATACGGAACTAAAGGCGGTCTTGGCAATGACGTGCATTTCCGTGTCCTTTTCTCTTCTCGCGTCTTTCCAATGATCGTTTTTGTCACAAAACAAAATCTGAAAGTCCGCGCAGTCCATGAGCAGTTTAGAGTAAAATTGCTCCTCCAGTTCCATTTGGGTGGAATTCTCGCAGACCTTGGTATGCTGGCAAATATCAGTTCGGATAGTGTAGCGGCCCAAGTCTAATACCAGCAGATTGTCAGAGCTGCAACAAATCTAAATTATTGAAGTCCCAGCGTTCTAGGACCTGCAACTTACACTGCGCACGAACTGGATTCTGGCACGACGATGTAGGGAAGTTTGATATTCAGATTCATGTCCCACTTCTCTTTCATCTTCTTTTTGAGTTGCTCGTAAATAAGTGTCGGCAACTCTTGTAGATACTTCAGCAAGTTGTAGCGCTGTTTGCTTCTGGTCGCCTGGAGGAACGCTTCTAGCTCTTCGAACGCTTGCTAAAACATATTGACGTATAGAAATGTCGAGTTCACGAATCCACGGTTACCTTATTGTAGATGCACTCGACAGAATCCAAGGCCATTTGTAACCGATGCGAGAATCGCCCGCCTTCCCGCATTTTTTCGAGGTTCGTTTTGAAAAAAAAGGCTGGACTGTCCTTTAGATGTTCGGACGAGATTATCGAGATCATATTTCCGCCAGGTCCGTTGCCTTCTATTATAATTCCTTCGATCTTGAGCGATGCTGAATACGTGTTGTCGCTGAAATTTGGCCGGATCGAGAATATCGCTTGAGTCATGGTCGCGACCAAAACTTCCTTCGGCTTGCTGGATAGGGTTAAATTGAAGTTGCCCAGTTTGAACTCGTGGTGATGGTCTACGCGAAACATTGTAGTAGATATGCTGTGAGAACGATACTTGTTCGTTACCTATTTGTTGGATTCGACCTTCTACCCCGTTGGGATATCCTATTTTTTCACACAGCGCGGTCTTTTCGGGAGTTGGCAGCAGTGACCATAGGCTTTTCTCTCCCACGCTCCTCGAGTGCAGCTATTATGTGCGGTTAAAATAGCAGAAAGGATTAGATTTCGCGATCACTCACCAAAAGTCTTGTGTGTTGCCTGGCTATGATTACGTTGATCAGTGAAAGATTGTCTTCGTGCTTCTGTAGGTCCAGCTTCAGTTCTGTGTCATTGGGATTGGCAATGATCTGTCTGTATGTCTCCATGTACTGTTTGTAGTGTTCCCTGACCCTTTTCATACGACTCCAAGTTAGCGGTCTGACCCTTTGCTCCAACGTGGCCCATAAAGCATATCTCCACCATGTTTTCAGATTGTCCATCACCTTCTCAGCTGGTCGTTTGGAAAGAAATTGCCAGCTGACGAGCATCCTGTTGAAATAATCTACGACACACGACGCCGACTCGTATTGCTCTTTTGAGATTTGTGCGTTGAAGTCTTGAACTATAATTTCTGTATGTATATCAGACACGTGGCCCGACTTCGTCTTGGTCGTAGTTATTCTAATTTTAGACAACATGGGATTGACGACTAGAACATTTCTAATTTACCTTTTGAACTTTATTGGGTGCCAGCGGCTTACCGAATCTAAAAGGTTCTCCATCTAGCGAGTACGTCTGTAGACTTTTGACCATCGAATTCCTCCACTGGTAGTACTCGGAGGGCAAGTTCCATTTCTTTAAGTCTTTTTCGGTATTCCAATAGACTGATAGAGCCTCGATTTTCACTTGGTAGTAAGATTTATCGCATCCTGGGTCATAACTGGACCTTTTCCATTTGGAGTTGGTGGTTTGCGCGGTAATCGAACCAATGCATAGGCCTGCAGAAATAGGGGATCGCCAACTAAATTCGTCCTCGTATCTCACATGCACGTTCGTTATATTCAGCTGGAGATAACTGATGATCGTCGTGAGCAGGTGCTCCGCAAATGCTGATGGACCTAGGAAGAAATGTTCTAAAATACATGCTGAGAAGACATACATATAGAAACGCTCATAAAAATATGAATCTTCAGAAAAAAAAACAGTATCAGATGCATAGCTGCATGTTCAGTACGAAATGTTGATTCAAATATATGCTTAAAGGTGACGAAATTACTTCGACAAGGCCGCTGCATTGCACCTACACTTTTTAAGATCTATTTGGAGGTGACCTTGAAAATCTGAAAAAGAAAATGGGTATTCCAATTAAAGGATATAAGCTTTATAACCTTCATTTTGCAGATTACAGTAATATAGCAAGTGGGGTTTAGCAATTAACCCATCGAAAACAGGGTATGGAGTGGTGGGAAATGAAATGAAAATTAATGAAATTTACGAGGCACCCAAATTAAAAAAGCTGATAGGAAATAGCAACTAGAATTGCACAAGATAATACAGCAATACTCGAACTAAACAATATAATCTGAAATAACCACATCTTTCGGAACACAAAAATTGGAATATACAAAAGTATCATTAAAAGTATTGCAACATATGGCTCAGAGTTTTGGGTAATAAATAAAAAATTGTTGACGCAGATGCTGCCAGCTAACTAGAAGGGACATGGTGAGAAATACTGAAATCAGAGAGCAAAGAGGTATAGATATTAACATGCTGGAAACTATAGAATGTAAAAGGTTGAAATGGTATGGCCACGTCGAAAGGATGAATGATCAGCGATGGCCAAAACGACTGTTACAATAGATTCCCACCAATCGCAGAAAAGGAGGTAGACCAAGGAAATCGTGTAAGCAAGAGGTAAACTGTGCACATGACTAGAATGATCGCAAGCGTTGGAAGCTAGGATACGAGAAATACTTAGACAATTTACTAGTTTACAATTGCACTACGCATTGGTTCTACGCACCTCCCAAAATTCCATGACCGTTCTCCAGCCTGCCAAGTGCGCTTTTCTTAAACCCTCTGAGCAGTCGTTTGTTTTTTTCGGCATCGAATGGCTCGTTGCCGACGATGGGATTGACGACCAGATGCACATCCTCGACGTTGACCACGATTGATTGGGTCCATAGCGCGTTCCATGGTATTTGGAGCCATATTTTGCCTATCGTGCCGGTTCGCACTTCTATGGGTACATTTAATTCGTACTGAAATACGCAAGTTGATTTGTCGATTCGTGTGTAGATGGGTAGGGGTGCTTACGAGCGCTTCCGGTTTGAGTTTCAGGTCGGTCAGCTGCACCTTGCCCGAAAATATGCCGACGTTGAAGTTTTCTGTGTCAAGGTCGGCAACGTATTTGCCGAGTAGTTGATTCAGCACGCGCGCTACGGCTCCCTCCAACATCTGTTCAATGGGAACGTTACGTTGGATACAATACCGAGTTTACAGTAATTCACCCACACAAATCGTGTTCAATAGTTTACAGTATTTTTTAGATCCAATTAATTAAAACCACAAATGATTGTACTAGAATCTAATGAACAAGCTGACGCTTAGCTGTGAGTTCAATTGTTAATCGTTGCGATGTAACCTTAAAATTTTAATGAGAGACAATATGCTGACTAGCGTATGCGGTAAATTGGATAATTTTGGGGGTTGTTTTTTTTTGGTGGCTTTGCGCTGCGAACTTCTTGCTATTTGGTTACTTACGTTGACACGATAAACGCCAGCAATATTGACGATCGACGAATTGTTTATACGGGGTTACATTTTCTGGACAGACTTTCCCGTCGGCGGTGAAAGTATCGATTAACGGCGGCGGCCCAATTTCCGACCCACATGCGCCTCACCTACGCCCTCTATGTATGAACGGGGGCGGTTAGTTAGTCTCTGTCCTTTCCTTACTCCCAGCTGCCTATGTGGTTTAACGCGTCTCGCGACTTTTTTTCTTGCACTTCAGTGAAATGGATTTTAAAAGGAAAATTGCTTCCTACTATGAAATGGAAATCAACAAATTTAAAAAAAACTTCTTCCCAAAAAATTGGGATTCTGGATATTTTTCGGTAATATCAAAACTGAAAATATGCATTTTTTGCCTTTAAATTTAAATTAATACATAAATTATAAGTATTATTCAATTTTATTACCTTGTGCGATTTTCTCAAATGAATTTTGTTATTGTGTATCTGTCGCAAATTCACTGTTACATTCTTGCTTTACGCTGTTAATAATTAAGTTAATAATTGACGCTCATTTCAATTCTAGAAATAAATAACGATTTTTTTTTACCAACTATTATTTTATTTTTTAAAAGAAACTTCTACCGGCTATTATAATACTATTTACAAATCTTCTGGATACTTCTATGTCGGTTGTCGATGAACTCAAGTTGCTGACATTTCTCAAATCACCCTCTCGGATTCTTTCTTTTTCTTTCAGTTTTAGTTAAGCTCTGAAAGAGTCAACAAGATGATTGGCGAAATGTCAGCAAGATCAGTTCATCAACATCATCATACGACGCGGGAAGAATAAAGAAGATTTGTAAATAGTATTATTTTATTTATTTGCAATACCAATTTTAATTTTTTATATTTTAATTTGTGTATATCTGTGTCACGTTAAAATGATAGGGGATTCTTAGTTATGGCAAATAAAAATAACGATCTTGAATTATACAGTTATATTTATTTAGAAAAATAACTCGCACTACTTGTATTTGATACAAATTGGTTTAACAAATCACAAATTTACTATTTATTCGATATAAATTGCTATATAATTATGTACATCTATTAATCTGAACGCGTAAAATCGTCTCCAACAAGTTTGGCACCTGTTCGCTGTTACAGCGAATAACAATAATTAAGAATGCGCGCTTTCCGTTGCTTTTTCGGCTCAATAAATTTATAATATTTACAAATTTTTCCGAATCTGCGTCACAGTTCATTCATGTATACAACGTGATAACCTTTGCCTGCGTGTTATCGGCAGCCGACATTGTCTTGTTCATAAATAAGTACCGGGAGCCCCCGCACTGTTTCGACCTAGTCGTTTAAGTACCATGCCACCGTGTCCCACCAGGTGGTTACGAGGCGCAGCAATTGTTGTTGGTCTTTTTGGCGTCGTTCGTCGCGTGAAATATCTTGGTCTCCATTTCCTCGCCGCCTTTGATCGTGTCGACCAATGGGCCGCAACCGGTCTCGGGCAACAGCAGCACCGATGCCCCGCCCACTATTCCGAACACCGCTAAGACCAACATCGGCACGCTGCTGTGGATCGATATCTGCAAGCGAAACGCTGCGTCAAATCACCGCGGATGATGGGCCCGAAATCGAAACTTGCCAGTTCCCAGAGGTACGGCACCAGCATCAGAGCTATACCCGCAGAAACGTTGGCCGCTCCGACGCCTATGTTTCTGATGATGGTCGGATATAGTTCGGCCGTGTATACGGGCATGATAGCGTTCGACGAGCTTATGGAAAACTTGCTGGCCATCGTGAACGCCGTGGCCAGCCATTGCAAATCCGACGAGACCAGCGCCCACGGAACGGCCAAAGCGGCGAAAACTCCGGATAATATCATGGTGATGGCCATCGGCCATTTCCTACCTCCTTTGAGCAAGATCACTATGCTTATCGCTATGGCCGGCACCTCTAAAATTCCTACCAACACCTGGAATGGAAGGGACGGTGCAATCGCTTGTTGCATAAGTTTGTTAAAAACTTACCGAATTGACGTACAAGTTGCCGTAGATGTTGCCCAAGTTGAGAACTAGCCCGTAGTAGCACAGATAGACGCTAAACCATATGAGAAAAAGCACCAGAGTTTTCTTTCTCATACTGGGCGTTTTGAACAGATCCGATACCTGGACGTCTTCGGCGGATTCGTCGCCTATCGTTCGAGGGCGAAGTTGTTTGCCGCTGTTTATAGGAAGAGTTTTTCCGTTAAACCTGGCCGCCGTTTCCATGATTTGCAACACTTCTTTCGTTCTTCCCAAAGCCAGCAACCACCTCGGCGATTCTGGTACTATAAACCTAAACGCGAAACCGTCTGTGAGCACCTAAATCATTTCTAGACTCCGGGAAAGGTTACCAAAGGCCCAGAAACAAAAATCCAGGCAGGGATAGCGATAGCTGCAAGTGTCTCCAGTTGGGCAGTAACCAGGCTAGTCCAGCTATGAGCACGTAGCCCAATGATACTGGAAAGAGGTAGGATATGCCGGTGATGGTGCGCCAGTGGCCACCGACCAGTTCGATGGCCAAAATGAATCCGCTAAACACTACCGATACCGATATGAAGCCCAGGCAACATCTCAGTAGCACGTAGAGCTCGAACCACGGCGCCAATGCGATTACGGTTCCTTTAACAAAAGAACGTGGTTAGTGAAAATGAGACAAATTTTTTTCTGATCAAATATTCAAAGCCTCAAGACTGTATACTTATTCCAGCCATTGATTTCACTTTTCGATGAAGGGTATTATTACCTAGAGTGCTTTGAATAAATATAGACGCCAAGAGCGTCTTCTTCCGTCCATACTTATCGGAGATGATGCCACAAACCAAGCCGCCCACAGCGACACCCGCCAAAAACATCATTTCCGCGATGTTGATGAGATTTTTCCTGTCGCACACCAAGTGAAACTCGGATATTATGGTCTCGCCGGGTCCTGCAAACTCCCACGCGTCACACTTTATACTTTTCAGTCCCGTATTGCCCCGACACAAATCCATTTCGCTTAACGTGTCTTTGGAGAACACGTCCAACAAAAAGCAACCGTCTTCGGTTTGCTCGGTGCAGTTTTTCCACAAGACGGGTGCGACGTTGTGGAAGCGCTCGGGTCTGGCGCACCAGGTGTCCATTCGTGCACCGTGGAAGGTGGGCGCGAAGATGTGCCACGTGCACGGGATGTTAACTAGCGAGAGGAGGAAAGTGAGCAGCAGCTGCCATTTGCCGAACTCTCCGATCGCGTCGGAGACGGTGTCATCTTCCTCTTCGTCTGATGGGGACTGTTGCTTTTCTTCGGCCATTTCTGGAACGCACGGAGAATAATTTTAAAGCAAAATAAAACTTATTGTGAGCTCGACTGAGCTTGAAATTGCCCATGGGTTAAAATAGGTTTAATCCAAGTAAGACGATTGCCAAACAACGATCGATTTTTTTTGAAACCACACCAAAAGCTAATCGAAAACGTCAAAAATTGAAGATTTAAACAGTTTCCACTCTAAAAATAGCGATACAATTATTACGACGGGCGTATGTTTAACGTCGATCATTTTACTTGAAAGCGATGTGTGCGTTATTTCTCCCAACGGACAAAACAGCCGCGTAATTTGGTTTGTTTTCAAATAGGCTGCTGTTCTAACGTCGACCTTCTGAATTGCGTCTACCGTTATGTTATTTCAGATGTTGCCGGTCTGGAGAAATTCAGTTTCTCCCAAGGAAGGCGGATGTCGCTGAAGTTAGATTTGGATTTGCATTCGGATATGTGAATATTACAGTGGATCAATTCTTTACTCATGTTAATTAAATTAAATTCTGACGTCCCAGATATTCAATTATTGAAGAGACTCAAGAGAGCTTCAAAATCATGTATTGAGTTGAGTAATACATCTTTATGGGGCGTAGTTTTATATGCCCCAAACGGTTTTAAGGTGACCGAGCAATATATCATTTTGAAGCTCTCCTTAGTGGCTCTTCAATGGTCTCATTCAATATCTGAGACGTCAGATAGAGATTGCGAAATAAATAGAACGAACTTTTGGGTATTTCATTATTGGGGGTAATTTTATACCGTCCCGACGGTTTCAAGGTGGTTAAGTAATGCATCATTTTAAAGCTCTTCAATAGTCTAAATGAATATCTGGGACGTCAGATTTTGTTGAGACTCCGAAATAAATAAAACGAATTTTAGGGTGTTTGTTGATTGAGGACTAGTTTTACATCTTCCCGACGGATTCAAGGTGGTTGAAGTTCTTCCAAATTGGCCTTCAATAGTCTAATTGAATATCTGGGACGTCAGTTTTTTTTTTAATTTCAGGGGTAGGGAATTGGGGATAGTTTTCTCGACGGTTTAAAGGTGGTCAAGCATCATTTTGAAGCTCTCCTATGTGGCTCTTCAGTGGTCTAATTCAATATTTGGGAAAACGTCAATTTTTTTTGAGATTCCGAAGTAAATAAAACGAATTTTAGGCCATTTGATGATTGAGGTAGATTTATATCTTCCCGACGGTTTCAAGGTGATTGAAACTCTCTAAGTGGGTCTTCATAGTCTAATCGAATATCTAGGACGTCAGATTTTTTTGAGATTCCGAAATAAATTTTTGAAATAAAATTTTAGGGGGTAGTTTTATGTCTTCTCGGCGGTTTCAAGGTGGTCGAGCAATACATCATTTTGAAACTCTCCTAAGTGGCTCTTCAATAATCTGGTTGAATCTCTGGGACAACGTCAGATTATTTTCTGTGTAGCAACATTGGATATGATCTTTGGGTATTCCCTTACAACGTGCTTACTTACCCAAGGTAAACAGGAATATATATTTTTTTTAATTAAGAGAGGTATCGAACTGGTCCACTGTAATATATGACTTTTGTTAACTTGAACAAAAAATGTACCATATATAGTAAAAAGCAGGCGGCCGTATTTTTTGCCCGATTTGTTTCCCCGTGACTTTGTTGCGTAAACATCCGGTACGTGTTCCGGGCTTAAATAGGAAACTGGCATGTTTTTTTTTTAAATTTATAATAGTATACGGCGCCCTGGCGCGTAAACGTTGCATATACGGTCTTAATAAGGAAACTTATTTGTTTCAATTAACGACAATTAAAATAAGTTCGCGCTTCGTATATGTTTCGCAGCCGATGAGGAAAGCAACCCGAGGAAAGCGTCGTCATTTTTACCGCCAAATAAAATAAACGTTAAAACGTTTTCTTAGTTCATTATCGTTCCTCAACGAAAAATTCCGCGTTAAACCATATTTGAAAATTTCCTACGTCGTTTACGTCAAACCTGATGCATAAAAGCAGCCAAATTTAATTCGGGACGCGGCGTATCGTTGAAGAAGCCATTTTAGATTGTGCAAATGAACCAAATACAAAAGTTGTTGCACAAGAATTGGGAAATATTTCAGCTTCTTCCGTGTTGAATACTCTACAAGAGCAAGAATAGAGTATTGTAATAGAATTGGAGACAAAAGAGTCGTCATTTCCTACTTTTCACTGTTGACAGTATCGAATTTTTTTTGTTATTATTAAGTTTTTCTCTTATCAACCAATTTGATAGTAAAATCAACAGACAACGGAAAACTACTACAATTTTTTGAATGGTAGGGCTTACAATACGATGTTTGTTCGTTATTAAAAACCGGTATTTATATAAAATATTAGTTGATAAAAATTGAATTTATGCACAATATTATTAATATTTAAAATAATATTAATTAATTACAAGAAATTTTTTTCAAGATAAAGAAACGATTTCATGGTATTAAAATCTATATCAGGCACATTTATTACACATTCTGAGCCGAGTATGGCACCATCGAGAAGCATTGGTGTCGGCAACATAAAGCGATTTTTTATGTTTTACGTTTGCATAAAGTGTGTAACCCAAAAAATTATTAAATAATTTAGATTAGATTGTTTAATGTTGCAAATCAGCTGTATTGTTTACAAGTAAAAATTATATTTTATATTTTCAATTTTATTTTTCACTCCGTTGTGTCTTGTGCTTTGTGTGGATTATGTGCACCTGTTTTCTGTTTTTTTTTTTCTAATAATTGAAATTTATATAACGGTATTTAAATACTGATTAATGCAACAATATCCTCAAAGAGTTGCAGTTCGGTGGGAGATTTAGAGTATATGTGTGACTGGCCCATCCATGTGACTTGATCCCATGTTTCCCTAAATCTGAAATCCTAAAATTTGATGGAACTCAAGCATGAATTTTAATTTGTCGTTGTTCATATTGCTGTGGACGTGTGTGGTGTGTCTAGGGCTCGTGGACAGGTCATATTGTTTTTTACGTTCGGAACCTCAAGATTTTTTAAACCGAATGGTGTGATTTTTTTGCTTTTCTCATGAACATACAGAACCTGCAAATCTGGCGTTTATTTTGATTCAAACTTTATGTAAAATTATTAGGTTTAAATCGCTTCCGGTTAATCCGGAAGTGGTTCCGGCAAACTAAATATGTAAAAAAAGGGTTTTACGCTCTCCTCCAATTATTAAAAATTAAAATCGTATCTACATAAAGCTATTGAAAAATGTAGGGGTAACTAATTCAAATTCGTTTCAATTTATTTATTAGGAATACCCTCTGTGGCGGGAAAACAAAATGAGTCGAGAACAACGCACCAGGTAAGATTATACATCTTTCAACGATCGTGATCTTTGTTTTGCTTTGGTAAATAAAAAAAATTCTTTGGGTATTCCGATTATTGCGGACATTGACGCGTACGGCCTCCGCGGCGTCTTCTGAGCTGGTTCGCACTCCACCGTACGGTTGACAGGCGCGGACAATAAATCAAAATAAATCACGAGGCCGGCACTGTCAGCTCTAATCGGTCTTTAACCTTAAACAAGTTAATGCTAGTTCGGGGGACACCAAATTTAATTATGTCGAATGCCCCCTCCGAATGGGAAGTCGGCTCGCATATTGACGGCGGTTAGTTAGGAATTATCGCACTCTCTGTATTAAGATTTCCTCTAGCACTGTGGACGTTCGTGGTTACCGTGCTGGGCCCTTATTCTTGACCAAGGATTTCGTTGTCGAATACGGCGTGTGCTCAAAAAGTAAGGCGACTTTTACGTTTTATCAAAATTAATGTTGTGCCCTTCAAAGTAATCCCCCCAGATATAATGCACTTGTGCCAACGTTTTTTCCAATCGCCCTCAGATATAGCGTCGAGTTCTTCGAGCGATTTTTTTTTGACCTCCTGAATTGTTTCAGACATCCTTCCATTCATGGGGTTCTGAGTTTTGGGACTAGGAAAGAGTCACAGTAGACCATATCCAGTGAATGTGGTGGCTAATGCATGATTGTGGTTTTGCAAAATGCAAAATCCATTAATTGTTTTCCCACAATTCCGGACATTTTCTTCTTATTTCTTCTCGCAAACGACAGATAACTTTAAGATAATACGCTTTATTGACCGTACGATCTTGCGGTAAGAACTCTTGATGTACTATGCCACGATAATCAAAGAAGACAGTAAGCAAGACCTTTACATTTGATCGAAGTTGTCATGCTTTTTTCTATCTTGACGATTCTGGGTTCTTCCATTGGGACGACTAAGCTTTGGTTTGGACGTTATAACCACATACCCATGAATCGTCACCAGTTATGATCTTTTTGAGTATATCAGGATCATCATTGACGTCGTTTAACTGCTCTTTTTCTAATAGAGATTCGACAATTTTTCAACCCCATTTCTTTCACTTCCTCAACGCTTTCAACAGTTATTGACTTGCTGGGGCGTTTGTCGGTCATCTTTGAACAGCTTCTACCCCTTATAAACATTTTATTTGCTCAAAGTATATTCACCATATGCCGTTGTTAATATTTCAAATGTTTTGCAGCGCTGTATTCCATTTTTTATACAACCTTTTATGCAAATTCTTTGTTCCATTTTTTTTTTTGGCAGCAGAAAATCGCTGAGCACACAAAACACGTATAACGCTTCTGTCTAACAAAAAAAAGTAAACCTGCAAACTGGCTGAAACTGTGAACATATATTAAGGACATATATATAAAAATATATATCGAAGATCGAATTTACGTCTCCCGCCAATTACAAAAGTCGCCTTACTTTTTGAACACACCTCGTATACTTGGCCCGTTGAAGCTCTAGAAACTCGATCAATTGAATTTTCATCATTTTTGATGCTTGTGTTTCGACGTTATGCCACCTTGATGTCTTGAATAGGTGAATAAGTGGGTAGTTTGCTTAAGTTAGTAGTTATTGCATGCCTTATCATAAAATACTCAAGAACTTTGATAACGGAATGTTGACGGAAAAACGAGGAAAAGGAATATTAATTTTAAAATTGACATTTGAATTTCAAGAATTGTCAGAAGAAATTGTCATTCCGTTCAGTGAATAAAGTTCTACTCGCATTCAATAGGATAACATCAAGAATAGGAATTGAATTGCACATTTTCAATAGAAACACGACGCTCACTTTCTCTTGGATTTTTCTATCCTATCTTGGTCAAGAACAAGGGCCAGGGGGAAAATAACGGGGAAATTAACACTTAACTAGCTGATCACCTTGCTATTATAAACTATTCTAGTTGCTGGTTTATTCTGAATATTTACAGGAGTATGTCATGTCCCGACTGACTTTTTTTAAGTAGTGGTACTTTATTGTGGGTTGCGTTAAAAATCTATTTTAACATATTTTTGGTTACTTTTGTCCAGTGAATCTTAAGATAGGTTGAATTAAAAAATTCTGATTTCTCAAAAAAATTGGGTTACTAACCAAAACCGAACAAAATTTGCATATTTTTTCAGCATGTTCTTTGTATTTATTTTTTCTTTCCTTTCAGCAATAATTAATATTATCAGAAGACAAACCGTCAGCAATTTTGGATAATATTAAAAAAACTTTCCTGAACAAATGATATAACATTCATATAACAAATTCAGAAATAATTGTTTCATTTTTTGTGGTACTTACGAAATATCATTAAATTGGCTAGGAAAATAAAATTTAAGAAAACTAAGAAAAGGTAGCACAAGATAGAAAACAATTCGGGGTTTAATTTTAACACAGACTTTTCAAACAGCTAGAAAGAGTTTTCAGTTTTATTCTTCTGTTCACAAAATTCTTTTTCTCATAGCTCTAAAATTATATGATATTCCATGATTTCAATTGGGCAGCTGTGCGAAGATGCCCAGCAATGCTATTAAAGAAAATGTATAACCTTCTTGTGTCATTCGATCTTATAATTTCAATTGAAAAAAGAATCTGGGAAAAAATCTGACACTTTTCAATAGAAGTTTTAGGTTTCCTTGAAGAACCACAACCACAACCACAAGTGACGGAGAAAATGATTAGCTTAAATAAGTAGTTTTAGTTTATTTTAAATGTAGCTACAATTTTTTTTAAATAAACTTCTTTTTAATTGTAGCTAATTTAACGTTGCTGTTTTCATTATATTTGGATAAACTTTTCTGAGCACGTCACCTTACCTTGCACTAATCAGAATCAAATTTATTTTGAAAAGAGACGTCTCGGCCTGTCCACAATCTACCTTAACCCAATCGATGAACAGGAAATATTTAGACTAATTATGGGTTTGCCCAATAAGTACAACTGCACGAAAGTCCGTGAATTTGCCATTAGTTAACATAAAAAAATCTATAACCGAAAAAGTATTCCTAACATCCTTTAAACTCTCAAAAGAGAATTGTAGACCTCTCTCACTGCTTCCTGCAGTGTGGAAGGTGTTTGGGAACAACAGAATATTAAACTTTTTACAGAAATACTATATTTTAAATGACGAACAATTTTAATGTATACCAGAACGGTCCACGAAAATTGCTGTTGAAAAAGTGGGTGGCCTGTTTTTTGATCTGTCAAAGGGCTTCCAGGCTGGTTGTTTATAAATGGCTTCCTAACAAATGTTTGTGTAAACTAGCCTTGTGTTGCATGTGTCCAAGTATTCATCTCATCTCATATAATGATTTGGTTGGCAATACAGTTTTCTTGTAACTGACTGGCTGAAATTTAGGTAATATGGGGGAAGGGGGAATATTTCTATTCGTATTTGCTTAATTGCACAGGCGAATTAAAATAGTAAACACCACAGAAGCAAGAATCACAATTTTTTAGGAGTTTGATTGGGTTAGGGTCTATTTTTGAATTTGTTATTGTAATGTGATTGTGATCAAGTGATTTTTTTTATTCCTTTGAAAGTGTATGGGTTGTATCTTATCTATTTTTTACGCATTTTACCAATTTGTGTTATTCAAATTATTGGCACTGATTTTTGGCCGAGATGTCATCCATATTCGCTTATGTGCGTCTTCACTTACGTAGGAGCCTCTCCCGCACTTCGCGGTGATCGTGAAGTATGTCGTCCATGTTTGCTCGCGACCGAAAACCCGTCGTCACAGCCGCGAAAATGAGGAAATAGTCGTGCGAAAACTCGCGTACGGAAAATGTCTCGACCGTCGCATCTTCGCACCGTGTCGCGTCACATGCGTGTGTCGTGTGGAAATTCGACGACTGTCGTCTTCTTATCTCGATAGTTTTATCTACGCGGCCGAAATGAAAAACTGTCCGAAAAGCGCAGCTAATTGATAATTGTTAGCGACCGCGAGGTGTTTGCTACTCGAATTACAATATCGTTTGCGTCAAACGTGTACCAACGAACGCGTGACCGAAGCGGCTTGAAGCGAGCGGTTTCCCTCGCGTTTGGTTTTTTTTTTCTTGTCCCCCTGTGGGGCTCGTCGTGAATTGCGCCGTTTTTTGGCTACTTGCGACTCGATGGCGATGAGAATTGTTTGCGGCGAAGAGCTTCGGTCGGCCGCATTGATCGCTTTGAAAAATGAAAAAAAAAATGCGGCTTCAAAATTAATCAACTTGCGCGCATGTGTATTTTTTTCTAGAAACTATTCATCTGACCCCAAAAAATAAACATGCTATTTGGAAGACAAGTTAATATGCTTTAGTATGAGTTTAAATTTGTCAAGAGTGCTGGTCTATGCGTAGCTACGATTGAACAAATGAAACGTGTTTATACAGTGGTTATAGTGATAGTAACGAACTTGTTGTAGACTTAAATTAACTAACTTACTAACTTAAATAACCTTTTTTAACTGGAATTTTCATATTTTAACCATTTAGATAGCTTTTAATTGTGTTAGCTTGATGCATACTACACCGCAAAAAGCCGTTCAAGTTATCGCTTTAATCGAAAGTGGACTTCGCTAATGAGCTGTTAATGTGGTTCAAGTGCAACAACAGCTCCATGAAGATCGAGGAGTGGCTATTAGTCAGTGGACAGTGAGAAGAACACTGAAGGAAAATAACCTGACTTCAAAAACAACTGCAATTGGTCCAAAACTTACCCCAGCTCATCGACAAGCAGCAAGCAATGTGGGTCTCAAAAAAATTGATGATATAACATTTTTACGGTTTGGATGCAAATCCGGAAATAATTGTTTCATTTTGTGGTACTTACCAAATATCATTAAATTGGCTAAAAAGTAAAATTTAAGAAAACTAAGAAGAGGTAGCACAATAAAAAAGAATTCGAGATTTATTTTTAACACAGACTCTTCAAAAAATTCTGTCTTGAAACAGACAGAAAGAGTTTTCAGTTTTATTCTTCTGTTCACAAAATTACTTTTCTCATAGGTCTGAAATTATATCATATTCCATGATTGCAATTGGGCAGCTGTACGAAGATGCCCAGCAATGCTAAAAATTTTGCTATAAAACAAAATATATAACCTTCTTGTGTCATCCGATCTTGTAATTTCAATTGTAAAATAAATCTGGAAAAAAAATCTGACACTTTTCGATAGAAGTTAGATGAGACCAGAATATGCCTTTTTGGTAGTGCCCGTCGAAAAAAAAGCATACCGAAGACCAGGAAAGCGATTTACAGAATGCTGCAATCAAGAGCCGAGCTCTTATGGAGGTGGTTCCTGCATGATACGGGGTGCAATTTCTAAGGGCCTGTTTTCATCCATAGGGGCGGCCGTGGTCAAGGGAGAGGAGGTTTAACAGGTGCTAGATACATCGAGGATATTTTTTCAGATCACGTGGTACATGTGTCGACTACATTGGAGAAGAATTCATTTTTATGCATGACAGTGCTAGGCCGCACACCGCAAGAATCATGCAAGATTACATTGCAGAAATCGGTTTTCGATTATGGAGTGACCAGCATCCAGTCCCGACCTCAATCCGATCGAACATTTATGGGATGAGCTAAAACGGAGACTTCGTACCCAACCTCGATTCCATACCTTATTGTTGCAGTAGAGGAAAAGGAACATTCCACAAGAAACAATAGCGAACTTGATTAATCTATGCCTAATAGAGTAAAATATATTATTAGGACAAGAGGAGACCATATCCATTATTAAAAAATAAATGTTGAGTTGCTAATTGTCAATAGCCCTATTTGTTTTTAGTAATAAAAAAAAGTTAATAGCAGAAATATATTTTAATCAATTTAAACTCGTATTGAAGCATATTAAATTGTCTTTCAAACAGAATATTTTTTTATCTGATCAGTAGTTTCTAAAAAAAAATGAATTTAAAATGAAAAGTTCACAATGGGTCGATTTCTATGCACGCAAGCTAAGTAGGTTCAATAGATTCAAACAGGAAAAAAAACTGCTTAATTTTATGGTCTTACATCGTTATTTATTACCTATGCGATAGGCTCCGACTTCATTTTTGGCACGAGCACACAAAATGGTCTATTCAATATATCTCTTTGTTAATGATAATATGTAAACGGTGTCCGAAAAAAGTAGACTAAACTATAACAGCATATTATACGTTCAACATAAGCAATAGTTTCCCCTAGAATGGACCTAAAAATTTTTTTTTTTAATCTTTCGAAAACAAGTTAAGGGAAAGTTTTGAAATTTTGCAGTAATTTTCGCGTGATGAATCCGATGCTAACATTATGTCAATTTTTGGTCAGAAACCTAACTGTTTACTGGTACGGGTAACAAAAACTGCAATAACTTTCTGTGGGTTGACTTTTTAGGTTTTGCCCTTATAAAATCGGAAGGAATGTACACTTGATTGATATCGCTAGGACGGGCCGTTTTCGAGGAAAATGGATTTCAAAAATACGCCGTTTAGCACGCCCGTGTCTGATTTATTCATCAAAAATTCAAAAATTAGGCCTTGAAACGGGATCGGTGGTTTTGTTATTTATAAATTTTTATTTGATGAAAAATTTAACCAGTAAATTGAATTCATAACTCCGTATTGTATTTTCCACTTTTCCGATCTCATTTGAGATGCACGAAAAATCTCGATACTATTCTTCCTTTTTTTTTCAAACAACATTAATGCAAATATTAAGATAAGTTAAGCTCTGATGGAACTCAGATTGTATAAGTGCTTAACTTTTTGTCGCATGATATGTGTGTTTCATCAGGAGTTCCTCAAGATTCCCATATTGGGCCGCTACTGTTTAATTTATTTGTCAATGACGTATATTCGAGTTTCTGCGAATATCTCGTGAGCGCGGTATTCTGTATTCTGTTTCTTTAACCATCATGAGCATTTTCGGCTGTTACGAATAACTAATGCTTTAGCTAGTTAGCGAATGTAACTCTGGTTCATCCGTTTCCATTTTATTTCAACCTATTTAACCTGATTTGCTTATTCCCTCATGTTAGTATTAATATTAGTCTAACCCTTGCTTTTTTATTATAAATTAATAAATATAATATAAATAAATAAAATTCTCTATACAAAGGTATGTGGAATTCCGAAAAGGTGAACAATAATATTTCCTATACAGTTAATACAAATAAATTATCAGCATAACTAATTACTCTATATCTGCATCAAGTTTTATACTACCTATAAATGCAAATAAAAATGCAATAAAAATTAGCTAGATTATGGGAACCTTACCACTACCAATGTCGTCTGCGTAATCAGCACGATTGTATGAAAATATTTTACTTGTATAACATGAAACCTAGCTCTATTGACTACGTCAGAGTTGTTGGAGATATAGTTCAAGATTTAGTTGTGAGGTTAACACTATAACCTTTGACTTTGACTTTAATGGTTTTTTTTTTCATCATAAATAACTAACTAACAATTTACGGATACTCCACAGTTTGCATACATACGAAAGCGCTAAAAGACCAGTGAAATAAAAAAATAATTTTAGTTTTCCTGAAAAACAAATCCGAATTTATGAAAATAGGTCAGAATTTTCGAAAAATAAGTCCAAATTTGTGAGTAAAAATCGGAAATGCCAATGTTCGCAGCAAGTTTTTTAGCAATTCTGACTTGTTTTTCCGAGAAACGAAGAAAATATTTTATTTTTAAGGTATTTTTTAATTAATTTGAAACTATATTAATTATTTATTAATCGCATTTCAATTGGTCAAAATACACAAGTAGGTCAATGTGCAATGATTAAGTCATTATACTGTATCTCACTGTATAAGAAATCTTTCACTCATCATCTCAATCATCCTGTTGGTTTCTTCAGCATTTAACTGAAGCTTTGAAGACTCAACAAAAACCGACATAGGAGGAATCCACAAGTTTTGTAAAAAGTATTTCAGTAGTCTGTGGAACTTTCTTAAAACTTAGTATTATACTTAAGATAATTGTCAAGGGTCCCGAGAGTGGCAGGTAAATGGACATTGTTTAAAATTGGAACTATAGTTACTTTCCCACAAAACTCGTTCTTGAAAATCTGATTTTTTTGCTGAGAAATGTAAAACGGAGCTTTCTGGAAATGAGAAAATGTGTTCAAAGCTGTTAGTTTTGGTTAGTTAGAAATACATAACTTTGGAAAAAATAACCATTCCATCCACGAGTAAGAACGAACGAAAAACTCAAAATAGAAAATCACTTTTAATAGGGAAAGACGAAATGAGAGAAGTTAAGAAAGTTTCGATGGGAAAACAGGAATATGTATTATCTGGACGAAACTGAGTTGGTTGGTAAAACATGGCAAGATAAAACTTTAAAAATTACGAGGCAAGCTCCACGGGAAAAGGCAAAAGATTAATAATTACTCACATTGTTAGTCAAAATAAATTTGTCGATGGTGGCTAACTAGGATTCGATGAAAATGTTTTCAATAACATCTTGCAATGGTAGAGTGTTATCTATCATTATTTAATAATAATATGCATTTTATAATAAATTATTATGCGTCTGTGATGTCCAATTTACCTATAACCCTCTTCAAGGAATACCCGAATGCGGTACTTGGCGATTCGGGGAATCCAAATAAAACTATCGACTACACTTCGAAGTGTCCGAAACAGTGTTCGAAGTGTTTTCGGAGCGTGAGCATTGAAGATGCCAAGTGAGATCTTGCTGGTAACTTGCTAGATTCCCTTTTTATTTCTCTCCAACGAAAAATATTCGTAAAACATGTTTATACAAATTTACGCAAAGATGATATATACTTATTAGGTGATATTTCAACGTAATAGGAAAAAATATTCTTTCTTCTTTTTTTTGTAAGTTCAATTGAATTAAAGTATCAAACATTTAAGAAATCTTTTAACCAATCCTAATCCATGAAGCTAGTATCAACTATCTTCTTCTAACTAAGCATTAAATATTTTGTTTACTTATCCTGC